AGGAGTCAAAAACGTGGAAAGATGAACCAAAAGACACCGCTGCTTTTGCCTTTTTGTCCATTGCCCTCGCACGGTTGAGGGGCGAAGCTGGGGGGGTTTTTTTCTTTATGACAAAGGGCTGGTTTTTTCGATTTTATACTAATATCTCCGCCCCACCGCTCCAATAGGTAATACACGCGTGGAAGCAAAATTTATACTGCTTAGTGGCAAATTCTCATTCGATACCGATATCGCTCCGGTTCAATAACGCGGTAGTCATTCTTGTTGTGTTAGGTTCTGACATCCTGCTGCTTTCTGCGTATTGCGAGTGAGTCTACTTCCCATTGGTCACACACGACATGTCGTTTCCTTGTAACATGTTGAACCACAGCTTACACAATTTGGCATCTACCGCGAAGGAGTAACAACCGAGATTCAATGGTTTCTCAATATTTCCAAGGGCCCTTGTTGTGATCCGTAACTAAGTAAGATCTAGCTGTAAGAGAGGCGGGCATTACTCCGTACACCCCCGAGTTGTAAAAATATTATCCTAAAGACCTTATATAACTAAATTAATTATACAAATAGTTTAGAACAATTAGTACTTTTCACTCTTAGAGTAGAAGTACTTTAGTTATATAAAGTTTAACTAATTCTACTACTACTAGCTCTATTACTACTACTAGCTCTATTACTACTACTAGCTCTATTACTACTACTAGTATTATTACTACTCCTAGCTCTACTAATGGTTCTTCTAATTTAGGTTATATGTTTAAGGTACCTTTATTATCCTAAGAGCCTTATATAATAGGCTTTTTAATAAAGACTTCTCTAACGGATTTAGGTTATATATTTAAGGTACCTTTATTATCCTAGGAGTTTTATATAATAGGATTTTTAATGAAAACTTCTCTAATAGATTTAGGTTATATATTTAAGATACCTTTATTATCCTAGGAGCCTTATATAATAGGTTTAAGTAATTTAGGTTATATATTTAAGGTACCTTTATTATCCTAGGAGACTTTATTATTAGAGAAAGTATTAGTTTCTTTATCTAAAGAAGAATTAAGATAAATCAGAGTCTCTCTAGTTTTACTTAAAGATAGATTGGAAGAAGAAAATCTAGTTATAGTTAGTAAAGAGGAAACTAAATTAATATAATTATATCTAGCTATTAGTATATTCCCTATCTTCTTTAGAAATTTAAAAGAACTAATAGCTATACTATATACTATAAGTAAATTAAATAGACTATAGAAGTATATAGAATATACATATATTAAAGGGAGTAGTATATTATTAATCTCTTTTTTAGAGTTACTTACTTAAGTTATTTATATACTCTTCTCCTCCTTAATTTTAGGAAGGCTAAGTTCCTTACTATATACTATAAGTAACTTAACTTAATATTAGAGGTATACAAATTTATATATATTAGTAAGAATATAGTATTATTACTCTCTTTATTAGAGCTATTTACTTAAGTTTCTTAAGGATCTTAAATAAATTCTTTATTCTTCTTTAGATTAAAAGTTAGTATTTTAGAAGGTATAATACTAAATTAAATCTATTAGTAATATACTAGAAAAATATAAATATTATACTTAGAAGATTTAAAAAACTTATAAATAAGTACTAAACTTACTACTATTAATTAGAATCTTATAATTTTTTTTTTTAAATATTTATATAATTTAAATATACTATAAAAACTAGAAGATCTATTTAGTCGATTTATTCGCTTTAAATAATAGAATAAATAGTTTATAAAGGTATAAAATACCTTATAAGGATAAATCTTCTATAGATTTACTTTTAAAATAACTAGAATACCTTTATAAGAATAGAAGTAATTTTAGTGAAAAGAAGGTATATTAAGTAAAAATTAAAAGTAAAGATAGTAAAGATAAATATATATTAGATATAGGATTTAGTAAGAGGTAAAATTAAATAATAAAAGTAAATAGATTTATTTAAACTTAACTAAAACAAATAAATTATAAGTTATAAGTATATTAAGGTAAATTAAAGTAGTAAATAGTATAGATAGTACATAGTAGATAGTAGGGTAGTTAGTAGGGTAGTTAGTAGGGTAGATTATAAGATAATATACTTAAAAGTTAAGATTAATATATATTTAATATACTAGTAGAGTATATCGTATACACGCTTATATAATAGAGTTCTTATATCTTAAATTATATTGTTTAATCAAAAGATATATTTAACTTAAAAAGATTATAAATAGAGAGATATAGAATAGTAGTATATACCTTTATTATTATTATTATTGGAGGAAGGAAAAGGATTAAAGATAGTAAGAGTTAATATCTTTTAAGCTATATATTAAGCTACATTATATACTAAGCTATTCTAAATCTAGACTAGTTTAAATCCTAGTATTAAAGGCCCTTTATTTATATATTTATCATAAGATTAATTTAATTTAATTACTAGATTTTTATATATAACCTTTTCACGTGTTTCTACCTTAAATATATAATAATTGTACTTCTAGCTGTTAAAAACTATAAACGTAGTCTAAATATACGTCCGTAATATAACAAACAGACTATAGTCCTAGGCGGATGTTGGGTACGTAGATCCCCTGGTACTCACGCCTACAAGTCTCACACCCTAGTAAAAAAACTGGTGTTACCACTACCAGCGCGGAATTTCCTCTATCAAATGAAAGACGTTTTAATAAGCATGACAAGCCTTTTGACACAAAGGGTGGTCGATCTTGGGACTTCGAATGGTCTTCTCGAACCACTGATAGGACACCAGGGTCGGCATAAATTCTCATCATGTTCCAGCCGGCAAAGAAGAATCGGCCTAAACGGTAATAATGCCAGTCTGCCACGCGTTTGGAAAAAGAAGAGAAGCAGGTGCTGTCATTTTTTTTCCAACCCCGGCTCTTCTTGACAACGAGTGTTTCGAAGCCCCCAACCCAATCTATCGACCCGCATTCGTACGTAGATCTAGCTTGATCCACAAAGACGAAAAGCTTCACGGTGATGATGAAGGCTAAACATCTAGTTGTTGATCAGTTGGTAGGCAACTGAAACTAAGTGACCTAAAACGGTAATAATATTCTTGTTGGGCATCGGTAAGAGAGGCGGGCATTACTCTGTACACACTTGAGTTATAAAAATATTATCCTAAATACCTTACACAACTAAATTAATTAATTATACGAATAGTTTAGAACAATTGTTACTTTTCAATTCTTATTATACTAGGTGAAATAGGAGAATTAATTACGTTGTGCCAGGCTTTTGGCATAATAACTTTGTATAGAGTGTATAGAGTAATGCTCGCCTCTCTTACTTGAGTAGTTCGTAAGTATGTGTGAAGTTGCTGTTTGGATCTCTGTTTCTCCAAGTCTGGAAATATCAAACCCCGGGGCTGAACAGGCGCACAGATTTAGGCCATAAATATACTCAAACAAGCGCGCGAAGAAGCGTCTGCGGGATGGATTGGATTGCCATCTCCAGAAACACTGGATGACTGACGGATGACAGACCAATGGTCACGGTCGTCACTTCACATGCTCAACTCTGAGGCGCTACGTTTCCCAAATCAGACGTCGATCTCTTCCGCTTCCGCTTCCTGGGACTGACCCGACTGTCAGCATTTGCCCCGTACATACTACATATTTTCATATGCGGCTGACCAGACGGCACACTTGCAGGCGCACACCGCAAGATGATGCATCAGGAAAGCAGAAGTCGTGTTGTTCGTTCATGAGCTTCTTCTGCTTGGGTTGAATCTTCTGCTTGGGGTGAAGAGAAGTTGAGTTGGTCTCATAGGCGCCAGCGTGATATGAGGCAGAAGTGGAAGTGGAACCACCATGACCTGAAACTTCTCAGGGGTTCGACGTATTGTCCCTGCCGGCCACGTTCTAGCGCCTTTTGGTCGGTGGATGGATGAGATGAGAGGGGCATTGAGCATTACTTCGCTTCGTAGGTATTGAACTGGGCAACAAGGCCGGAGTACCTCCTCCTTTGGATCCCCCTCCTTTAGGCGGCAATTGATTTGGCTATCGCTGCTTCAAGCGTGCACCAGTGTTGTTCCCCTACCGGTACGAGTACCCATACACTATGCAAGCGAGGAGAAGATCTGCCTGAGGCTGCGAGCAAAGGCGGCAGCCAATAGATGCCGGGAGAGGGGAACGGGTGATGAATAATGAATGGGGTCACATTCTCTTGGCCTTGGACCTTTTCCTCTCCTGCGGGGACTCTGAGTGTGAGTCTGCTGTACGAGTATTGTACTGAGTGGTCGAAGGAAGAGCAAGAATCTGCGTGGATGCTTCTTGGCGGTCAATCCTAAGAAGTCTTGGAGTCTTGTCCTGGTAGGCGATTCTGCGGGTAGATGCGTCGGTTGATGGAGAGGAGAGGAGACCTGGAGATGGAGGTCGATGGAGGCGAAGCGATGCATCGGTCATCGTTCTCCAGCTTCCGTGGGCTTCCCCTTCCCCTTCCTCTTCCCCTTGGCTGTCGAGGCTGTCTGTCGCCCCTGAGGCCTGCCCCCGTGGCATTGGTGACCAACAGCAAATAACCTCACATTACAGGCGAGGGTCGACCAGTCAAAATGTCGCATACTGTTGCATACAGGGCCATACGGACCCATACTACCCACACCGACCCATACAGCTTTCGCCGTGCAATCACCCGTACACACTTATCTCCGACTCGATCAAAGCATGCGTGCGAGGAAGCGTGGAAGCGTGGAAGCGTGGCTGCAAGGGTGTGACGTGGGCAGCGCGAGGGGCGGCCAATCGTGCCCATTGGATCGTGCCCATTGGATCGTGCCCATCCGTCGTGCCGTGGTGTTTCTTCCTTTGCTTCCAAAGATTCCATGGCAGGCGAGCAAGGCCGAGTTTTCCCCCCACAAGTTCACCACGCCTCTCCAGCGACAGCGGCAGCGGCACCACCTCTAGAGTAATTGTATAGAGTACTCGTACTGTAGCTAGCAATCCGTTGAGATGTCAACATCTCTGCCCGTTCTGCCGTTTTGCCGTTCTACGACTCGACGGCCCTGCATTCGCTCGTCGGTGTGTGGTTGTACTTCTAGAATCTCCACTCAGCCTACTACTCCCTGAGTGACTGAGTCCCTATTAATCCCTCCCCTACCTCTCTCTCTGGTCACAGCACTGAAACCCCGGCCATTTCTACAACGTCCCATTTACGCACCTCCATCCGCTCCCATCCCATCCCCTCTCCATCGTGTGTCTCACTCGGTGGTTGAATTGCCCGTCGTCTCAGGCTCTCCAGTCCTCTACTTTCTCTGCGTTCTCTGCGGTGGTTGATGCACGCCCTGCCCAACTGTGTGCCGGCCCCTTCAGTCATTTCCAGCACATTTGCCCGTACACTCTATTCACTGGACTTGCCTGGTCTCGTTGCTGGAATCTGGCGACTGTTTCTCCGACTCCACCTCCCTCCAGCCTAGGACTTGACTTCGTATACACAAAGTGGCCTGTGTACTCACGGGAGCATCGAGCATCGAGCATTGAGCATCAAGCATTGAGCATCAAGCATCAAGCATCAAGCGTCAAGCGTCCTGCATCCTCGTTCGATATTGAGGTGTAAGGTGTAGGGTCTCTTTGTTAACCTCAGCAACAAAGAAGTCAGACTGGTTCTCAGCTTAGCCTAGCAGACACGGAAAGGCTGCACTACGCGGCTTAGACAAGGCCAGACTACTACTCTCCCTACTACTACTAGCTCTTTTCTTGTAGAGGTAGGCTGCCAATACCATCTAGTCTCGTCCTCCAAAAGACATTGGCTGCGATTGAATGCCCAATTCTAATTCCCTTAGCATCCATCTGCGAGTAGAGTACCTAGGTATTCATTTCCACAACATTCTTCCTAGCGGGACCTAGGGCCCGTTTATCATCATTCACATCCACCTCCACCCACCTCCACCCACCTCCACCCACATCCACACGTACCGTCCCCATCGTGGCTCGTGGCTCAACTCGCTCCGCTAGCACAAGCACTCACTTGCCCTCCTCCTCCCACTCCACCTTATCTTCCGTCCCTGGTCGAGACTAGTCCTAGTCCTGGTCAGCGGCCTACTAGCACTACACTAGCCTAGCCCTTCCATAAAACCTCTGTCTTCCAGGTTCAGGCCCAAGAAATAGATGGCTACTGCAGCTCAACCTCCTCCAGCAACAGTTCATGATAATCTTCAAAAACCCACCACTGCCACTATCTCTGCCTCTGCCACAACTAACTCCCCAAACCCTGTGATTTCCAATTCTCCCCCAGATCCGACTGCCACTACCAGTTCCTCCCGTTCTCCGCCATACCCATACCCTCACTCATACCCTCATCCTCACCCTCACCCCCAAACCAAACCCGAAGAAAGCCAAACCCAACCTCCATCCCAGTCTGCCCTCACCACCGATACCCTCACCTTCACCCCAACCCAAGCACAAACTCAAACCTTATCCTCCACCCATTCTCATTTGACGACCGACGTCTTAGACCAGTCGTCACTTCCCACACAAACAACGACACCCGCTGTCTCCCTCGCCCCGTCTCCCAATACAGTAAAAGCACTACGCGCAAATTACAAACATCGACAGTCGGTCCTGTCAACCACCTCTCCTAAAAAAAACCGATCCTCACTTTTCAATCTGGCTGCGACATTGGCTCGCGACAAGACCAACAACGCCATTGCTAGTCTCTCCAAACCTTCCATCTTGGGGGACCGCAAGTCGTCAAGTAGTTTATATCTCTCGGCCCAAAACCTATCGACCTCATCTTTGACGCACCCCTCCATTCCTATATCAGATACCATTGAGTCCCTCGCAACCGACCCGCGTCCATCCCCTCACCCGCACCCAACCTCAATCCAGCAGCAGCAGAGCCTGCTTGAGACAAATCCGCCGTCCCAGGCGTATTCACATACATCCACCGACACTCCTGCATCGATTGCATTTGTGCCGGCGGCAAACTCCAACAAGATGCATCAAACCTCATCGCGCTTATTGCGCATGACCTCTGATGATCGGCCATTTACACGGGTAAGATGTGATCCGATCTGCTGTTGTGGGGTTGCGAGGCTAACATGTAGCACAAGGACTTCAAAGATCTCTTCGCAACATTGGTTGTTAGCCTTCCTCTCGCACCACATCGCGTACGTTTGACAAGAGTGGAGCATTCCTTTCTCTCAGAAGAGGCGATCAACAACCTTGGTTCCTTGAAATTCTCGCAATCCAATCGGATGCCTGACCCCAAAGACCCCTCCCGAATTGTAACCACCACCACCACGACCACCTTTTCCATGGCAAGAGAAATGGCTCGATCTGTCTGCCAACGTTTCCTGGAGGCAAGATTCATTGAATCCGCTGATGGCAAGCAAGCGAAGGAGTTTACCATGAAAGGCTCAGTCTGGCAGATGACACCTAAGGGCATACACGTTTTGGAGAGATTTTGTTCCAAGAATGGCATTCAGCAAAAGCATGTGACTGAACTTGTCAACTCAACCAGAAACACCATGCAACTTGTCATTCTGGAGAGAGATTCTACGACTGATAAATTGTCATCCGACAGAAGTACCATTGAGGTGATTTTCCGTCGATTTGTCGGGTCAAATGGATTCAATGTAAAGAGTAGCACCAGTTCAGCTGATTCCGATTCACTGAGTGACTACAAAGATGGACTTCAAGGAGTGAGAATGGCCGCTGACCGTAAGGTTGGCACACAGGTTTTGAAGCTCACATTCACAGGAAAGGCTGCTACAGACTGGTTGATGGATTGCTGTACAACAGTAGACCGACGAGAAACTATTGAAATAGCAACGTTGTTTGTGGCACATGATCTAATTTGGTGTGTTCAAACTGACAAGACCCTATCACCACAAGAGAAAGAGAAGGACCACAAATTTCAAGCCACCAAAAGTGCCATCTACCAAATCACCGAGAAGGGCAAGGAGGTTCTGAGCATGACTCCCAGTCATCGTGCATCAGAAAGTGCTGTTGAAGTTGGTGCTCCTGTCACACGTCCTGGTGTTTCTCGGGATTCAAACACACAAAAGCTGGATAAGATTCTAAACGATGCGGCATTGAGATTGTTGTTTCGAGAAAATTTGCGCGATACTCATTGTGAAGAGAACCTGTCCTTTTACGTTGATGTTGATGAGTTTCTCAACCATTGTCGAAATGCTATCAAACAAAGCACAAGAGTTGGCAAAGGCACAAATTTGGATTCAGTCAAGGAGACCATGGCATCTGCTTATGGAATCTACAATGCATTCTTGGCTCCAGGCTCACCATGTGAACTGAATATCGACCATCTGCTTCGAAACCAGTTGGCTACACGAATGACGAAGGCAGTAGGACAGGATGTACAGATGATTGAAAGTCTCAAGGAGGTCACTAAGTTATTTGAGGAGGCACAAATTTCTGTTTTCAAGCTCATGGCGAGTGTAAGTCAAGACACGTTATCCATGCTACTGATGATTTCTAATTCTTTCAATAGGACTCCGTTCCAAAATTCATGAAGAGTACCAAGTACGAACAAACGCTCAAGAACTATGATTTCGACTCTCTCACCAGCAGATTCCACAATAGCATGAACCTTCCAGAACGAAGCATGAGCCGATCCACCCGATCAAGCTGATTCGACCCGGCATACACCTTTCACAATTCCCTTTCTCTTTTCATTCATCCATGAATCTTTTAGACGAATTGTACGTCAATCTCAATTACTGGTGGGTATCCCAGATTTCTGGGGACTGGCGGTAAATGGAGACCTTGTGTTTTAGCGACTGCATAGATTCCCCCACATCATTTCGGCATTCAGACTTCAGCGACTTAATGACTTCAATGTCCATAGCTGGGGCTTGATACCTTGCATTTTGGCGGTTTGATACGGTCAACTCGTTTGCCCTGTACATTGCATTTTTGGCGTTGTGGACTTCATATGGGATAGAAAGAGATACCGCTTCATTTGCGGAGTTCCTACAATTGCCAGGGAATATGAGGACGAAAAGGGCCAGGGACGTTGTCCGCCTACGATGGAAATGGAAAAAAATGAAGCTGTGCTTGTGCGAAGAATCCACGTGTGTAATTAGAAACAAACCATGCTCTATAGGAGAGAAAAAAATGAAATAATTGCACTCGTTAGCCCCAGGAAATTGGGAAATTAGAAGTTATTAACACCAGTGTCATTTCCTCATCACCTAGCAGAGGAATGAATTAATTTCAGATTGTCTCGTCTATTGCCATCTTGCCAAGATGGTATTCAGCTCTAGCCTATATAGCCTACAGCTCACACCCGAAAAGAAGATGGCGTTTGATCCAGAATGTGGAGTGCATTCCTCATGGTTGAGTTACCACCAATTGGAGATAAGGTTAGGCTAACTTTTGTCCATTCCTCGATTAACAGACCACAACAACGACGAATATTCAGAGGAGAAAATACGTCCGAAGAACGCTACCGCAGATCTATGCAAGAATTAGGTGCATTCTCGGCTTGGTTGTTGATTCTGTGATCATGTTACCAAGGGAGGGAAACGTCTTTCCTTAAAGCCTCTTCTTCGCTCGAGCATCTCTTGTCTTCCAACAGCACAGCAGAGCACCGCAACGCTTTCAAGCTTCTTGTTCCCCAATCCATTCGTTTTGACCTAGTCTCTGAATATCACACACTCTTTTTTAGGCAAATTTTCAAGCGGATCAATACTCTTTATTCTAATTCAACGGCAAGATGAAGTTCTCTTCCGTTGCTGCATTGGCGATGGCCGTCACGATCGTTGGGGCCCTTCCAGGTCAATGGGGCGAAGAAGATCCCGAGAACAACGGCCCTCCTGGTTTGGAACTGCCGAATTTTGGGAGCTTCGGACTTGAGCATGAGGGTCATAAGGGCAAAGATGATGGCCTCTCACTCCTGAACGACCACGGAGAAGGTATCGCCCTTGGTCCTGGCGCTGAAGAGACAGCACGAAAGAACCATGAGGGCGGAGACGAACATGAAAAGCCCGGCCATGGTGGGCATGATGGGGGGCATGATTGGCCCATGGGTCCACCGCCATGTGAAGGAGATGATTGCGAACCACCATGTGTAGGCTGCGGTCCACCACCACCATGCGAGGGATCAAATTGCCCAACTTGCCCAGGTTGTCCACCACCATGTATAGGGGACGACTGCCCACCACACCCACCTCCTTCTCCTCCATGTGAAGGACCAGACGGTGGAGCGATTATCGAAAACACTCGCGTCTTCAGCCCAGATGACAACACTCGATCCCATAGTCCTGACAACGGAAACGGCAATGGAAATGGCAATGGCAACGGGAACGGCGCGGAGATAATGCCACTCAAGCCAACGACCAAACGACCAGACGAACAAGCAAATCCAGAGCAACTCCCAGACCCAAATTGCTAGCCCCAATATCAACATCAGCAACATCAACAACATTGGTCCCATCACCGGCCCTGGATCGAACGTTTCTTGGACTCCGGATTATGTTCATCACTATGTTGAGGTTGTCAAGGAGTTGACGACTGTCTGTGGGGAGGCGACTACCATCCACCAGAATGGAAAGGAGTACCCAGGAACCAAGGGTGAGACAATCACCATTGTCGATTGCCCATGTACCGTCACCAAGGTAATTCCATCCCCTAACCCTCTCCGTCAACATGAAATACTAATCAATCCAACAGACCGAGCCAAAGAAACAAACCGCTACACCAGTAACCTCATACGTAACCGAATGCGCCGACGCACAACCCACGCAAGCCCCCGAGCCCCCATGCCACGAATGCGACAAGCACAAGGAGGAACCAGTCGCCCCTTCGACACCAGAAACTCCAGATACCCCATCTGCGCCTGTGTCACCACCGGCCAACAGCCCTGCAGCTCCCCCAGCTGCGAAGAGCCCCATGACACCAGCGCAGACTACCGGTGCCGCAGCAGCCGAGTTCACGGGCGCCGCGTCAGTCAAGAGTGTAGGAAAGCTTGTTGGTGCGATGGCGGGATTGACTTTCTTGCCATAAATCCCGTGTTTCTTTTCCCCAGCTCGTTTCTTTGCGTGGGTTGTTTGTGTTTGTTGTTTGTTGTCTGTAATGGTAGATAATACAAAAATGATTAGAGGGGTGGAATTCGCTACCCTTGGAGATCAAACCTCGGGTTGTGTGGAGGCCTTCAAGGGCGGTTCATTTTGGGTGGCAGGGAGGTGTTGTTGTTCTTTCCAGGTTGTTGTTTTGAGAGTGTGTCTTTTTGTATTCGCTAGATATATAGCCTGGATGGGGTGGCAGGCTGGGGCTTGGTTCGCTTGTGGGGATCTTGGTGTGCTTTTTTGTGGTCTTGTGGGATGGGGGTAGGGTTATTGATATTTAGTTTTTATTTTTATTTTTAGTTTTCTTGAAATTTAGGGTCCTTTGTTTTTTTTTTGATCTTGATTGTATATGCATATTGAGTAGTGACGCAGTGAAGATTTCGCATTGTCTTTTTTTTGGTTTCTTGATGATTGGGTTGGAAGATGTGATTCTTCTGGATGCTGTGTGAGCTTATGGGGCTAACTACTTAATCTTTACTAATCCTCTAGTATTTCCCTCCCCTTTAACCGCATGGTCTCTTATTGATTTCGCTTTATATCTGTTCCAACACATCACCATTCAAGTTCCCTCCTACGGTGTAAGAGACACGGGTATTACTCTATGCCTCTACACCTGGGTTATAAAAATATTATCCTAAAGACCTCATATAGCTAAATCACTCCTACGAATAGCTTGGAATAATCGATTCTTTTCACTCTTCGTTAACTAGGGGAAAAGGGATAATTAATTTACTTGTGCTAGACTTTCAGGGTATTGAGTTTTTTTAGTGTATATAGAGTAATAACCAGGTTTCTTAATTAAGATAAGTCAGGCTAAGAAGTTTACTAAAGAATAGCCTGGTTTGTTTATTTTCTTAGGGATCCTATACGGATTATATCCCTTTTCATGGAAATGTAATGCGGGTGTAAAAGCTGGGATATACTAGGTTTTACTTTATACATAATTAAGATATAGTAATATGTGATTGCTTTGAAGATTTGAAACTATAAAAAGAAAAGAAAAGAATGCCGTTATTTGTGACTTACAGTATCAAAATTCTCGTAGGGAACACTTTCTTCTTATAACTGTCAAGATCTTCAAACTTCCTTTATATACTCACATATATTGTTACGACACAAGCACTCCTGCCTCCACTTTCTGGCACTAGCATATTCTATGAAAGGCGCTAGACCATTTCTGGACGCTTCCAGGCCGACAGACAGCTCCTATATTAGAGCCCTGCTCGCCCTTTAGCTAGCTTCTCTCTCTATTCCACCTTTTACACAGCTCATTCTGACAGTCTCCTGTTTTGTCCTTGACATATAGTCATAATTGCCTTTGGTTGGTATGGGGCGATTGAACTCTGTGAAGATTTGAACTGTCTCGAACTAAGTGCTTATAACATTATACTCTTTCATGCTACTATGCTGTTCGCCGGAACGTGGGAGAGAACTTACTTGCACCTGAGGTTCGCCCTAATTTCAGACTCATGTTTGCTGGTTTGCAACTTTAAACCAGGTACGAAAGTATAATTTCCAGATCGTCAAACATATACATGACGGGATTCCTAGCCTTAATACACCTTGTCTGAGTCTCATCTACTACTGCAATAGGCCGGAAGCCGGAATACACATAGAACCCCCTGAATACACGCTCACCGCCATCAAAATCAAATAGCCTAAATACCAACACCACTCCAACATGAAAGCATTCACAGTCCTCTTGGCCCTGGCCCTCGCCTCTATCAGCACTGCTCGTCCTGCTATCAGCCAATGCCTACTCAGTCTTTGCGACCCGAATGGCAACAACCCCAACAGATGTGGAACACTTTATGTAAGAGAGGCGGGCATTACTCTGTAAGATACAGACCAGAGTTGTAAAAATATTATCCTAGAGACCTCATATAACCAAATTGATTATACGAATAGTTTAGAACAATTATTACTTTTCAATTCTGATTGTGCTAGGTGAAATAGAATAATTACGTTACTTGTGCCAGAGTTTTGACACAATGGCTTTTGATAGCGTACATAGAGCAATGCTCGCCTCTCGTACAGAAAATAGCCGGGACCACATGTGACATAACTGAAATATTCCTATGTGAACTGCGAAATGCAATATAAATATAGCGTCATGTGATATTGTTTCTGTTGAAAAACAGTTGGATATTTAGAGGAAGCCTGTCTAAATACAATTTGACGCGAAGGCTGATCGGTCGATCTTCGCTTGGTAGAAGCTCGTGTATTCCCTATGTCGATTGAAGTAGGTGCAAAACACACCTTTGATTTTTGATCAGTTCGATGACTAGATAAAGGAACATTTCCTGTGCTTTCTTTACTTTGGGCGTTATTGAGGACATTACCTTGATTTCGAGACTAATGGTATCTAGTCCTGCCCCCCAAGACAATCAGCTTCAACGCCACAAGTTTTCTCGCGCAGACATCTTGCGCATGCAAGTATCCGACCAGCCAAAAATTCTCAAAACGAAATGAGTAATTCAATAACTAAAATGAGCCTTCGACACCTCTCAAAACCAAAAGAAATTTCTCATGACTGTTGTACGTTTGTCAACCAACAAAGAAATGCACATATCATATTCATGATGCTATCACGGAAGTCAATCGAACAGCAGATGGGGATTCCAACAACCCCATTCCATCCCCACCTCAGCCGAGAATCCCCACTTTCGAGATCAACCACCCACCATGAAAACTCCTCTTGAGAACCCAGCGGGGTTCTTTTGTGGGGAGATCTGCCTTGGCCAAAGGATAATTACACTACCAAAACAACAATGGAATGTTTTACACTGTATGGATGAAGTCTCGCTAGGAGCAATTCGGGATTTCAAGATGGGGTGCAGTAAGGGATTTGACCGGGTAGAAAACACATTTCAGCAAATGTTTGAACGCCAAGGTAGATCTCTCCCCATAGAAAAGACTCCATACTCACCCACTTCAGCCCGTCGGATCTCCGTCCCCGTCTACAAGTGGTGGGATATGGGTCTATCTTCTACAGATAAGTGACCAAAGCTCTACTACACACCAATCACTTCCCTGCTTCACGGGCGATAAGAAGGAAAATTCCCTGGTATATAAAAAAGAGAAATATTTCCTGGGAGCTATTTGGTGTATGATTCGATGGCAAAGGCGCCTGGGGGTCTGTCTCGAGGGTGGAAGAATGATATTTTTGTTCTGCAAAAGTGTCTCAACCTCGAAAATGCATTGTGACGTACGAATTAATGCCACAATAAAGTTATTAGAGTATTGAGTAGCTATCAAAGTTACAATCTACTTTTCTAGGTATCTTTCTGGCTGGCTCCTACAAATACAAGCACAAGTACTTGAACTCTTGGGGTTGTGGTGACCGGCACAGGGTAACAAATACGGAGGGTTTACCACTTGTAGCATAAAATACATGCACTGTGCCCGGAGACTATCCCACTTCGATGACGATGGGTACGCTTTTTACGATGGGGGCCTGGCATGAGCCCAGTCTTATCTCTTGCATATCGGGTGTTGGATGCGCCGGTGTCATAGCCCTTAACAAATCCAGGACAGGAGCAGCACCCGATGTGGAGAATATGGATGCCCTTTGCCATGTGGTGATAACACCAGAGCCTTATCATATTTGGAGCTACAGTTCGAGTCTTGGTGATCACAATCTTTGTGGTGATATAAGGAGTGCTCTATATCCCCGTTTTGCATGTTGATATTGCATTCATACATATTCCAATTAGGTCCTTTCACGCCGAGACTCTGGAATCATGTCTTTGAAGCAGAACAGCTCTGACGACGAGAAGAGGATTGCGGTCGACAATGGAGTATTGGATACAGCTTACGGTGACGTCGAAGATCCAATCGAGGCAAATGAAGTGTTCAAGAAGACGGAAGATGGTGTGAACTATCGAATGGTATCATGGCAACGAGCCACGATCATCTTCTTGAAGAGTGCGTTGATTATATCTCCCAGATAAGTAACTCAAGACTAATAATTGGATAGTTATCTTCGCCACTGGTGTACTGTCGATTCCTTCGGCAATGTACTCTCTAGGTGCGGTTGGGGGGTCCCTCTCCGTAATAGGATGGGGAGCACTGAATAGTCAGTCTCGAACCCCGATTTGATGTTCCAGAATGACACTGACACGGCGATTTGATAGCTTATACCGCGGTCATTCAAGGAGATTTTCGAAATTCGCACCCTGGGTGTCACTCCATTGCTGATATGGCCAATGTCCTTGGTGGAGTTGCGCTCAGAGAACTTGCGGGCGCTTTATTCTTGATGGCTTATGTCCTATGCGCTGGTTCTGGCATATTGGGTGTATCGATTGGACTCAATGCCCTCTCTACACATGCTGCATGCACAGTATGGTGGTCCCTGATTGCAACTGTTTTTGTGGCATCTACCGCATCGATTCGGAAGTTCCACACTCTGAGTTGGTTGACTTGGGCTGGTTTTGCCAGTATCTTCATTGCGGTATTCATAGTAGTCATTGCCGTTACAACACTTGATAGACCTGCTGCCGCTCCGCAAACTGGAGACTTCGATTTGGGATATGAAATTATTGGACACCCTACCTTCATCGTGGGAATGACCGCATCAGCCACCATCTTTGTGTCTTCTGCTGGTACTTCAGCATTCCTTCCGGTCATTTCGGAGATGCGTCGCCCTAAGGATTTCAGAAAAGCTTTATACACTTGTATGTCTTTTGTCAACCTGGCATATCTAAGTCTTGCCCTCGTTGTGTATAGATGGTGTGGAAAATGGGTCGCGTCCCCATCGTTGGGGAGCGCAGGGCAAATGATCAAGATGATTGCCTATGGCATTGGTCTCGTTGGTCTGATCGTCTCCGCGACATTGTACCTCCATGTTGCCGCAAAGTATTTGTTCGTTCGTATACTGAGAAACACACGTCATCTTCAGACGAGCACTTTCGTCCATTGGTCCGTCTGGCTCAGTTGCACTTTTGGTCTCGCTTCCCTTGCATTTATCCTTGCTGAAGCCATCCCAATTTTCAATTTCTTGATCGCCTTGACGGGAACCATCTGTTTTGCTCCACTGGCAATTATGCTCCCTGGAGCACTCTGGTTATACGATCACCCACACTTCCGAAAAGGAGGCTTTGGACAGAAGATTGCTTATTACGCGCATTGGCTTTTGCCTGCCTTGGGTCTGTTCTTATGTATTGGTGGTACCTATGGTGTTGTGCAGTCGATTATCGATGCTTATGCTGATGGAGAAATTGGTAAGTTTCTCTCTGTGTGATGTAATGGATGAGCTCGCTAATAGTTTCCCAGGTGGCGCTTTCATGTGTGCAGACAACTCGGGCTCAACTTAAGAGTAGACGGTTATTGAGGAAATTTAGTACTAGTGTACTTAGAAAGCAAGGCGCATGCACCGTGCATGTTTGCTCATTATTGGAAATAAAAACAGTATATAAGTTGACGATGTGTCTCGTATGAATGTGATATCTTCTAAACTTTGTCTTGACTCTCTTGACATTCGAGACCACAAAAAACAGCAGGTCGTGCTGTAGACTGCCCAGGTTCAGGAAGCAGAAAGAAAATGGCACGTCCCAGTATCCTAAAGAACTCTGAGAACAAAAAACACGCCTATTGATAAGAGAGGCGGGCATTACTCCGTATACCCCTGAGTCATAAAAATATTATCTTAAAAACCTCACAACTAAATCAATTATACGAATAGTTTAGAACAATTAATACTTTTTACTCCTTATTAATCGAGGTAAAATAGGACAATTAATAAAGTTGTGCTAGACTTTTGGTATAATGACTTTTAATAGCGTGTACAGAGCAATGTCCAGATTTCTTACATATGATAATTCGTAGTATCCTGACTGGGAGATAGTTACTAGATTGAAGGTCGGGAAGTGAAATCCGAATATATTCGAAAAGTCTCCGTACTCCGTAAAGTTCCAACAAGTTCTATGTATACTAGTTCTGCTTTTGTTAGGTCAACATCCACAAATTTCAAGTTAGAGGGGCGAAAAGAAGTAAAGCGTGCTATTTATTTCCACACTTCTCCGAACGCCCCACCTTTGTCCCTGTCTACATAAATTTGTTCCACCTCCAACGAAAGAATAGAAAAAGGGGGTATCATTGTATCCCAAAAAAGCAAAGAATATCTCTCAGTAAATGCAAATGTGTTCTTCCATCAATCAGGTAGTCTCCCCGGATCGTCGTAATTACAGACGCATTATACTCTCAACCTCAATACTACCCGAGCTGCAATGTAGCCTCCTCCTCCGCGGGTATGGGAGTCCTAACCGTCAGCTCCCCGAAATCATCCTCGCCTGGCAACCTCAATGGTACCGGTATCCCATTTCTCAGAGGTGTTCTGGGGGTAGTCGTTCCTCCAGACCCACTACCTTTCTGTTTTGCGGGTGGCGAGCCATTAGCGGCAGCAAGCCTCTCGGCCTTCCTAATTGCATTTCTAGCCTCTCTTTGTCTCACCATATCCTTCTCAGCGTCGATAGCCTTTGCTCTCCGACTCTCGACTTCGTCTCTCTTGACCACCTTCCTCAACCCCTCTGAAGCATGAATTAACCCATCAATACTGATCGCATGATTCGTCATCTGATGGTTGATATACGTATAAATAGTGGCTGGTGTTGAACATTGAAGTAATTGTTGTTCGTTGAGCTTTAAAAGTGCAAGAGCAACTTGGAAGAGGAAGGTACTGCCATCATTGGTGCAGAACACTACGTCCCATACGCGAAAGAGAGCTTCAGCTGAAAGGCAATCTGTAAAGACACTGAGAAACCATTGAAAAGTGAGGGCTTCAAGCTCGATACTTAAATCATCCAGATGGGCCGAAAGTTTCGGGAGGATTTCTGTAACGTATTGACGTAGAACTTGTTGATCGGCTCTAGAGGCGAGGAGACTGTGATCGTAATATCCCTGAGGAAGAATGTTCTCTATGATACTTGCTAGTACCCAGAACGCGTCTTCTGCAGTGGGCATGATGAGAAGTAAACAGGCCGTGATCAAATTCATGCCTTGACAGTAGCCGACTTCCGCATTTCGTCGAGAGTATGCTAAGAGGACTTCATTCAACTTAGTAACACCTTGACCCTTTCGAAAGAAGATGTTATCAGTCAAAGTGCGATTGATGTCCATCTGGATCTGCGCAACAATTGATGGGTCATCCTCCCCCTCTCGGTTGGCAACAAGGTCGTCGTAGTATCCAGGAACACGAAGGGTCGAAGCCCCTGAGCACTCAGCCCAGATCTTAGCACGATAAGCGACAGGGATCCCACCAAGAACAAGAGACTTGAATTCATTCCACTTGGCACGTCCTACTTTACCTTTGTTACCAAGTCCTGCAACACCAATCATTTCTCCATCCATTAAAGATGCTTCAGGCATGATGGCTAGCACTGGTCTAGAGTTCTTATCGGTTGTTGCTGCAAGCGCCGCCGCCGCCGCTTGCCCATCTCGTTTTCTTTCGGCTCGAACTTTGCGCAAGAAGTCATTCCACTTGACTGTTTTATCGCGTTGTAAGGAATCGTGCACTTCATCCAATTGCTGAAGCAGTATTTTGACAGGTTCCATATCCTCTGATGATAGCGCTGCTTGCGATGGCGATGTCAGTTCCGGTGATAAGATTGTTGCATTGTCAGATACGACCGAGACTGATGGCTGAGCAGCGACAGTACCAGCAGATGGTAAAAACCCCCTGTCATCGTTGAAAATTGCAGGTGACTTGGGCACTTCACTACCCTCCATAACTTCAAATGTAGGATCAGCGCCCGCAGGAGTATGTGAAAGTAGTTCAGTAGGGAACGTAGCAGTTTTGAGATAATCCTGCCAGCGTTTGGTAGGGTTGCCATCGTCTCCCCTTTCTTCGAAAGACGTGGGTGTATCCGGACGTTCGTCTTCAGCATCAATATCACCATCTGCAATGCCAACAGAGAGACCGCTTCTAGCACTATTCAACATCTCAACCCGGCTTCCTCTCTTGTTTTTCCGTGCCTTTTCTGCAGCCTCCTTCTGCCTTTTTTTGCGGCGCTGGTCATAAATGAACCCAAATCGATCAGTAAGAAATTCCTGGTTATAAGGATTTCTACGTATCTGAGTGAGAGTCGGTGGTTGTGCGTCTGGGGGTAAAATCTGGTCCATTTCGACTGGACCATAATTCTCTGCCCCACCAGATGTACTGTTTTGTGGGCTCGCTCCCATCGTATCCCATCTATCTTGGGGGCCTCGAACGACTCCTCCACTGCTGTTTGACGCAATTGATCGTCTGACTGGTATCGCCTTGGTAGACTGTTTCGCTGGCACAACTCTTGCCGACATTGTACTATGTGAAGAATGCGCTCTTGGGGAACGTGCTTCATCGGTGCTATTTGCTCGACCACGACCCGTGACTCCTTCATCTCTACTGACAGCAGCTCCACCAGCAACAAGCCTGAGGGCGAAGGCAGCCAAACCAGATGAGGCTTTCCGGTCGCGATTGGGATTGGGATTGTCTAATTTAATACTTGAAGCACGACTCGCAGTGCGAATTGAATCCGGGGCATCAAAAAGTCCAGATTGGAGAACAGTGCGCCTGCCACTTGTATTGTTGGTTTTGATACTGGCTGGGTCGCTATCGTTGGCGGTATCACCCTGGATACTATTTGCGCGGCTGGTTTTCCTACTGGTCCCTCCCCCGAAAAGATACTCTTTCCAACCCCTCTGAGCATTTGCAGGTCTATCCTCCAGTGCCTTGAGCGAATCCTTTGCCCGAATTGTAGAATCATTGTCCAGAAGTGCCCGCTCTCCTAGTACCACAGTTTGACTCATCGCATCGTTCATTAAATCCTCCAAACCGCCTTCATCTGACGCAGAATTGTGGGCTGTACTTGCCTCGCTCGCAAACTTTCGATCGGCTTCGATGGCGCGCAAACGCGTTTCTAAGTCCAAATTCGAAAGCCCGCATTCCAAGGCGACTTTCCTCAGAGCCCGCTCTCTGCTCTCTGCTTTACGGCTTATGATTGCAATCTGAGCATCGCGCTGAGCCAGGTCCTCCGCCATTTGCCTAACCAAAGCCACAGCGCCATTCCGAGCAATCAACCTCTCGATATGTTCATCTTTGGCTAGATGGAGCGCGCCAGGGACATGTCGTATACTCAGAGGTGTATCGTCAAACAGGGCGGACCGTTCTTGAAGGGTAGGCCCTGAGGTGGTCATCAGGCTGTCGACAACAGAGGGCAATGAACTTGTGGAATTAGGCGATATATGATTTGCTGTGCCATCTGTCGTTTGTAGCACCGGTAATAGGGGGCGTTCGTCTCTTGGAGATTCAGGGCCGAAGGAGGGGAAGGAGGTTAGGGACTTGTCTGAAATGGAGGATGCGGAGCTCGACATGTAGGAGGCATATTTTTTGGGGCGCACTCGAACCGCCTGCGATCTGGAGCTTTTGGCAGAAAAGTTGGAATGACTGGAGGCTGACCTATGCAGAGAAGGGGAGCCAGCATCATGATCCATGACCGATAGCGCAATCAGATCGGATTCCCCCCAGTCTAGTACAGGACCCTCCTCTTGTGGCAACCTTCGCAGCGAGACGTGGAATGCATCCGAATGACATGAGACGAATGAGGCTTCGGTAAAGGCGGGTTTGCTGCTGAAGGAAAGGTAGTCGTGGAGGTTGATGTTGATTTGGTGGGGAGGGTGTAGGTGTGCATGTGCCTTGAGTGCTGCGGTGGAGTGCACGTCAGAGACAAATAATTCCTTCGTCACTGGCATCGCTAACGAGTTTCATGCATGAGACAGCGCAATCAAATCACCACTTGGAATTCCAAGATACCGCAGATTATGGACTAACTTTGTACCTTGAGCTTGAGGATATAGTGTTTTCCTCCTCCTCCACCTTCATCTGATTTCTCCCTTTAAGACGGGGTGTACCTAATTTGGGAGGGTGTTGGCGTGATTGGTAAACGTGGAGAAAGCTGTCCAAGCACGCCAATTCTCCATAAAGTTGCGATGGATGCAACCAACTAGGTTGCACTTGCCGGCAGCCCAAAGCACAGAAACCGTTGGAGGCTTTCAGTGGGTACAGGTAGTTGTGGTGAAGCGAGGGAACCGAGCAAGAAGTAGTCACAGATTTAAGCGAACAATTGGGAGAGTGTTAGTATTACCTGGAGAAAGGTACTTATGATACAAGTCCTCTCAATTGAGCCGTCCCTAGCCTGCCTTTCGCTTCTACTGCTTAGCCTTGCTCCCGGTGGACAAGAAAAGTGACAGAGACCTCTTTTATCTTATCCTAACTTAACTAAAAACCATTATATCATATTATTTATTTAGAAATGATTTATCGAAACCGATAGCAAAATAAGCCTAATGGTTCCAGATATTTTAACATTTTAGTAATTAGAATTTACTTACCCTAGTAGTTAAAAAAATGAATCTCTGCCACTTTTCTTGTCCACCTCCCGGGGAGCCTGGTAAAACTGGTGCAGTAAAAGGTAATCATGGTCCAGAAAAACTACCTATCAAGGTCTGATTGGATTTGGTGTGAATACAAATTCTATGATTCAGGACATATGCCCTTAACCAATCAAGTAGGGGATCAGATTATTAAGGTGAGGCTGTTTCGGGAGCATCAATTCCCTACAAGTGCTATAACTTACTTCATATTCACTTTAGTAAGCACCCGCGGTCAAGACTTCCCCATACTCTAGGCACCGCCACAAACAATTGAAGTGTGGCTGGAACTCAATTGATTGGCTCATAGCTGAACCGCGGTTCAAACCCCAGAACTGCTCTCCCCGCGCTTTCAACGTCCTTAAATACAATACCCGTACGACATGAACATGTAGCTACCGAAAGTCGCTCCTCTTTTAAATCTCTTTCTCTCCCCTCTCCATACCCCTCCTCTCAACCGTAGCCAAGCCTCAATTATCATGTCAGGTGCAGCAAAAAGACGTTTAGAAGCTCTCAGCGAGCAGCTAGTTGCTCCCGTGCCTGATCAAGGAACCTTCGAAGGCCTGCCGGTTCTCAAAAAGATCGCACCCGACTCCAACGGGCCTCGAGTCAAGGGAAAGGTAGTTATTGTAACAGGTAACTCTCTCCTAATCCCAACTCGACACACTATAACGTAATGCAATGCAGCATACTCACCTGATCTGCAGGGACCAATTCGCCCTTGGGCATAGGCCGAGCATCAGCACACCAATTTGCCCAGAATGGTGCAAAAGCTGTGTACATTTGCGATTTTAACGACTCCAACCTCGAGATCCACAAGCGTGAACTCGCAACGTTATATCCGGCTGTAGACGTGCATACCCGAAAATTTGATGTCGCAGACGAAGAGTCGGTGAAAGCTGTTGTCAATGATGCCATCAACGTGTATGGCAGATTAGATGTATTTTTTGCCAATGCCGGAATCATAGGGCAAAACAAGCTATTTTCAGATATCACATCAGAGCAGTTTCTATCCACATTGAAAACCAACGTTGTCAGGTTAGTAAAGCCTACGCATGCTTTGTAGCAAGAATTGGACTAACATCATTGAACAGCGTTCATCTCGCTGCCAAGTATGCTGCTCCAGCCATGATGAAAATATCCGAGGGAAAGAAGTATCCCTCAGGAAGTATTATATGTACCGCCTCAGTAGCTGGTATTCGTTCCAATGCAGGGTCCACCGATTATTCTGCCTCAAAGGCAGCTGTGATTTCTATCGCTCAAACAATATCCTATCAGTTGGCAGGCACTGGAATCCGCATTAATGCGATCTGTCCAGGAGTTATCGAAACCGGCATGACTGCAACGATGTACGAGGCTGCCAGAGCAAGAGGTACAGAGAAGAAAATTGGTCAACTGAACCCTTTGAGGAGAGGGGCTCATGCGGATGAGGTTGCCAGGGTGGCATTATTCTTGGGAAGTGAAGAGAGTAGTTACGTCAACGGCCAGGCTTGGGCCGTTGATGGTGGACTAAGTTCTGGGCATCCTTTTGTCCCAGGCAAGTTGGGTTAGATGCAAATCAAACGGTTTGGTTCGGTCTAATACCATTTTATTTTGATCGAGTTCCAGCTTATGTTTATGTTTTGTGAAACAGAAATATCATTCTCACTCGATCTCAGTGGTTGGAAAGAGTGGTTCGCTGTGGGCTAGCCCTATATTGGAGATCTATGCGTTCATCTCGTTACTCCCCCGGCAGCGGGTGTCTCATTTTGACGCTCAATTTACATTCCTTCGATCCACCCCAAATTTCAAGGCTTTCCACGTCTCCCAACATTTCAGAAGATTGGACAGTTGCCTCCATTTCTTCTTTCTCAATTTCCGTTGTCCCCGCAACGTTCGAGCATCAGGGCGTTGAGGAATGCAGTTCGAAACACGAATATGAGAGGTTGATCATCAAATCTATAAGTTATCATGTTTCTCATTATATCTTTCTCTAAGCTCCCGGCGGATAATTTCGATATCCCCTCAATAACATTCGACAGGCCCTTTTCATAGTGCCATTTTCATTAATTCTTTTTCAAAACAACACACGATGCAGATCTCCACGTTCATTAACTTTCTTTTCCTTGCTGGTACAGCTCAAGCTGCTGCTTTCCAGAAACTCCGTCGAGCGGACATTGGCGGAGCAGTCAACGTCCAGGCGGGAGCTGGCTTCAACATCGGCAACCTACCCGACTTGGGCTACCCCTTTGGCCAAGGGGCACCTAGAAAACCCAACCTAGGCCAAACTCCAGAAGACCAAGCAGCTCTACAGCGCCGCCCATCTGATGCAATCACTGAAGTTAAGCCAGCGCAGGGTAGAGTGCAGAATGCCGTGTCATCTGTCTCGCCTACTACAACATCTGCTTCGCCTGCTGCAACATCTGCTGTCCCTGCTGCCGACTATATAGCAGCAGCCCTCAATCACCACAATATCCACAGAAGAAACCATTCAGCACCTGACGTGACTTGGAGCGCCGACCTCGCAAAATCCGCAAAAACGATGGCCAACTCTTGCAAATTTGCACACAACCTGTTTGTCCCTCCCCAATCGTCCTCTTCATCACCCAACTAACATACTCCCAGTACACCAGGCGGAGGCGGCTATGGCCAAAATCTCGCCGCCTACGGATCCACCAATACCAACATCCGAGTCCAGAATCCCACCATCTACTTAGCAAGAGGGATCACAAACCAATGGTACAACAGCGAGTTCAGCGCCTTCCGACCCTCTTACTACGGACTCGCAACGCCTTCTCTGACGAACTTTGCTGCTTGGGGACACTTCTTACAAGTTGTGTGGAAGGGGAGTACGCAGGTGGGATGTGCTACTAGTTTCTGTGGACCGAATACTGTGTTTACTGGGAATTATGTTTGTGAGTACTTTCTCTTTTTTTCATTTTATCCACGCATATTCAGATGAGCGAATGGAAATGTGTTTGAGAAGATGGTGGAGTTTGAGGCTAATGGAAATAGCTTGGTTCACCGTGTGCAACTACAAGGCCCAGGGCAATTTCGAGGGCGAATACGGTCTTAATATCGGCTCGCCACTTGGAAGACCAGGTCTCACAGCACCATAATTTATAGACTTCAGGCGGTCGAGTCGATGAGTTGCAATTTCTCCATTTATATCCGGCTTTCGCATCGGAGTTTTGTTTTAGTTTGCTCCAAAGGGGAAAAGAAGGGGTTTTGGTAAAGTGAGAAAGGTCGTTGTAACATTTGTGTCTGAAATTTATCTATGGGCGTTCTTTGGATGAAAGGTTGGGAATTGGCAGGGATAGGCTAGGCAAATTGGACTTTGGCGCTTCAGATTGGGTTGTAGGGTATTTCAAAACTGTCTTGTTTGGGGTTTCAATGCTACGGTAAGTAAATGTTGGTTTAGGCGAGGAGAAAATAGAAGTTCTTTCTCATACCACGGTATCTTTTTACTTTTTCTAAGATTCTGATCCTCGTGGGTTTGGTTGAATTCTCCTCCGACATTCAATTTCGTAGGCAAGAGATTTCTACTCCTAGTATATCGGCATTTACGACGTTTTTATTTACACCCCAGAGTTATAAACCCATTATCCCAAAGACCTCACACAACTAAATCAATTATACGAATAGCCTAGAATAACCAATACTTTCCTCTCCCTATTAACCTAGGTAAAATAGGACAATTGTTTTACTTGTACCAGACTTTTAGCATAATGACATTATTTTGATAGCGTGAACCGAGTAATAACCATGTTTTTTACTTAGATGACTATTTTACTTATGTAATGCTTTCGGAATGACACTTTTCTAGCAAAGCTAGGCGAATAGGTACGGAGTAAAAACTTTAAAACTCACATTCCTGCAGTATTTCACCTCAACTTCGACCTATATACCCACGGTAACCCGCCTGTCTTTCCTAACAGAGTACTCTTGTCATCACAGCTCAACAACAAGACCGATGATCAACAAACCAACTTCTGATCTGGTGCTGACGTCGCTTTAGGGAATCCATATACGCACGCACTAACAGACTGACCGGCAGCACACAGTTGGATAGAATACCCTTATTGGTGGTAGCATTACCTACTTAGTTGTTCGAAAATGTCAAGGTGGTATCTGGGACTTTTGTAGGGCGTTAGGCTACGTGAGAGCACGGGGACAGAATCAGAGGACTAGCGACGGGTGAATCTCTCTCTCGATGCAGATGCGAGAGAAAGCATCATATCATTACCGGGGGGTTGAAGAGATGGTACTGTATCAGTCTGTGATGACACTGGTATAGGAGGTAGTATGCGTAGAATCCCGTAAGATTACGGTATTGTTCAAGATCTTAGAACCCAAATTTAGCGAGGGGACCATAAACTTCACACCCACACTCGCTTGAGCGGTGTTTAGAGGGACTGGGAATTACTTAGTTACGAAAAGACTCCTGTAGTCTGAAAGATGAATCGTAAGGACAAGACACAACAGAGTGTTTACCTCCCGCATATAGAACCAAACCTCAAAACTCACTCACCAAACCAAACCAAACGAAGACGGCAATTTTAAAAAGGTTTAATTCATCCCTACTACTGCTACCACTACAACAACAACAAAAAAGGCGGCAATGGCATCATCTCATCTCATCTCATCTTCCTTCGCCCCCATAAAAGAATACCCTTCCCTCATCACATCATCCATCCATCCCTCCCACACACCCATCCAGCCCGCGAGAGCCAGAATAAATTAAAAAAATGGTATCAATCACCCAACCATCACAACCCGAATATCTAGGGAGAAGTAAAGTAAAAAAAAGAGAGGAACGAAGGAAAACCTGAACCCCAAACCTAGCCAGCCAACCCCACTGGTATCGAATCCCCTTTCCGATAAAAAACAGAAGAAAAAAAAGGAAGCCAATCTGAGGGGGACAAGAGTATGAATGGAAAAACGCCACGGCCATATGCAGGGTATGCGCAAAAACATCATGAGAAAGAACGAGTCCCAAACGCCCACCCAGCCAGCCAAAATCGAAAAAAGAATGGAAAAAGATGCATCCCAAGCCCATTCCTTATCATCCTTAGCTACAATCTGACGATGAAAGAAAAAGAAAAAATAGCGTCTCTTATCTAAGCCTCATTTACCCTCCTCATCAATAACTGATACCCCCTTCATCATCGTCGTCAAGATCGTCCAATCCATCGTATAGAGCACCATCACGACACCCGTTTCCGTTAAACTCCATATCGTTTGTTGGTGAACCCTGGTGGCTGTACTCCTTCTGTATGGCCAAGAAATATGCCTTCAAAGACTTTAGTCCTCGTAGGAATCCCATATCTGGTAATTCCGGATGTCGCGGTGGACATGGTCGATCGTTGGATCGCAAATCTTCCTTGGTGACACAATTTGCGAAATCGGCGATCTTGAAATCGATGCCCTTCTTTCTCCCAGAAGACTCCTTCTCGGTTGTTGTAGTACAATCCGTGTCATCGTCCGTGGCATCCTCTACATCCCCATCATAGAACATCAAAAGACTAGCGGCGTAAAATCTGTATCCTACAAGGCTGCGGATGAGGACTTCAAGGTGTCTCAACTTGTGCAAGATTGCCGGGATGTGACGAAGAACGCTAGAGTAATCGACTCCATCATACAGGAAGCGAGTTAACGCATTTTGAAACTCTTGTCCTGCTTTCAAGTCGCGTCCGAAATATTTATCTTGAAAGACATACGTTTGACTTTGAACGTCCCATACTTGCAATCCACAAAGACGCACACCAAGCTCCTTGGACGTAGTTGCCCCGCATTTTTGACGCTGCGACTTCTGCTTCTTCTCGTTTGCCTCCACCCCATATTGTCGTGTGCCCATTTTGAGATCCATAATACAAGGACGTTTCATGCCAGCTGTCAGATCCTCCAGCAAAAGAAAATATTCCACGCGGGAACCCGATGGGGTCTGTGCCTCCTTTGGGTTTACAGGACGAGGAGTGTTCAAGTATTGTGCGGAGACAGTATTGTCCGGAGCGACCACCGCTGTGTCCTTGGTTGGAAGATCAAGCTGAGAATGGACTTGGCCGGTTTCCACGGTAAGTTTTCCGGATGCAGAGTTTTTGTTATCCAATTCTGGAGTGGCGGTAGCAGTACTAGGAGGTTCCGGATCCATAGCGAAAACATCCTCTTCGACATCTCCTTTGTAACCTGCGTCGTCGGCCTCTTCAAAGTATTTCAGATGGCCACGACCCTCTTCCACTTTGGAAGGTTTGCGTCGAAGACCACCACTTGAGTAACGTCTCTTTGGCTTCTTGGTCGGCCCGCCTTGATTGTTGCGAGCTATTTCTGGTTCCGGTGCACTGGTGCCTGCCTTCTCCTCGAAATCTAGATCGGACTCCTCCTCCCCTAAAGCCTTGCTTGTCGCTTGCTCCTGTGACTGATCCTGTGAATGATTAGAAGACACGTTCCGTCGTTTTTCGGCAGCCGTCTTCAAGACTCGTCTCCGGATGGACTCCTCTCTTGTCTGATTGGGTGTCCGAGTACCTTGGGCTGCTTGCAGACTTGATTCGGAATTTGATGGCCTGAGGTTTTGCTTATGACGATGCGGCAGTGAGCGCTGTTGGGATGCAGGACGCTTGTGTCGGTGAATTGGGATAGGTTGCTGCAAGAACGCTTCACCAAAAACTTCATTTCTCAACTTCTTATTGACAGTTGTAGCGCCCCAGCTTACTGCATGTTTATCAGACAAAGTCGGTCTAAAGGTAAACTCCTTCTCTGGCAAAGGAGGCTGTGTCTGGGGTTGATCCTGAATTAGCTTCCTCAAGGCAGCGCTGTCGCTTTTGGACCTATTTTGCGGATCAATCGCATAGGGGTGGGGTTGCAGGAAGCTCGTAGGGATGATATGTCTATTGTTTGCAAAAGTAACAGTCGGGATTGGCACTGAGGAAGATTTGATAGATTGGCTAATCATTCTCGTGTGCTCTGGGCGATCACCAGAAGACTGATGGCGATTGGTGTCATCACCAACCTGTCGCCCATTGCTCTGCTCTTGCGAACCCACTGTTACACCCTCTCGGTCTGCAGCAGCATCCTGAGGATCCTTTTTATAGGATCTTCGCCGATTCTGCTTCTCGAATGTGACATTTAAAACGCCAATGTACCTATGAATAATATGTTAACAAGGGTTATCTTATTTGGACTGTGCTTACTCGCAAGGCAGTAGTAACCATCCAAAAACGTAGATGCGCGTGTAGGCACTTAGCTGGCATTACTGCGTAGATAGGTAAACCAAACACAACTAGAAAAGAAATACAAGACGTACCTAGGCAAAAAGTTCAATAAACGGGGGTGATAACGTTCAACTTGTTCGTAGAACTCGTTTTCACGATTATTCAGTTGTTTACAGACAGCGCGCTTAGAAAAGCGCCACATAGTAGTATGGCCCCCAACTTGATGTTTGTACGGGATTAGCTCAATCGCCTCTAGGGGCTGCTTAGGGCTAGGTTGCAGTTGTTGGGTATCAACATGACTTTTCTGCCGTTTAGCCTTGCTGAGCCCTGCGCCTACGCCTGTCTTTAGTGATCCTGTTGGTGTAAGTTCGGGGTCATCAGTGTCGTCCGCCGTCGCTGAAGATAAACCGTCATCATGGGATTCTTGATCATGGTCAGTCTCAGAGACATCTGTGACACCGCTTGGTTCCTTGTCAATGATTTGTGGCACGCGAATCCCGCCTTGCGATTTGGCATCTTGACCAATATATTGACTGTCTACTTCATATGATGGTACCTCATGTTTTTCCAGCCATTGCTGCGAATTTGTTCTGTCCAGCTTGTTCTGTTCATGCGATCTCAGATTTTCAGGGCCGCCGTAATCTTCCGTCGTGCTTTCAGGTGACTCGTGCGGAGTTTGATGAGGCACGAAAAGCGCTGAAGAAATTTGCTCTTCGCCCGAGTCTTCCTCCTCATCAGTGTGCTTAGTCTGAGTCAATTCGCTTCCCTCATCATGACTATCGGTATCCTCTCCCTCACTCCTCGCATCATGGTGTCGGTCAAGTACAGAGTGGATTCCTTCACCATCGTCCCTCGTTCGTTCCGATTCAGTGACAGGAATACTCCGGGAGAACGACGAGCCATTTTCATTTCCTGGTGTAAGATTGTGATGCTTCCTAATTTCTGCGAGTAATTGGGTGGGCATACGCTTCAACGCTCCTGGGATTGGTTCGCTGGAATGCTGGGAATTGAAATATCCACCTCCATCTTCAATCGAGGCGCAAGCCTTGGTCGCATCTACACTCTCTGCCTGAGTTTGCTGTGCCTGATCTTCTTCCTGCTCGAGTGGCGATGGCAAGGGGTCCCCGCTCACCGACTTCCGTCCCTGGATAATGATCGTCTTTTCTCGCCCATATGTACCTTTCCCATCGCGATGCTTTCCCTGCTCTTGGTCACCAGATGTTCTCAGCTGGGAAATGCTGCCGTCCTTTGAGCGGCCTCGATTCTTTGGCTCACGTCTAGTTTGCTTCTCTTCGGGCAGACCTTCTTTGAAGAAACCCAAAGTGTGACTGGTTTTTCTGCTGCGATTGCTATGTTCCACACCCGCCAGAGCCTCCGTGACGGATTTTTCAACCTGTCCACAATGACTGTCCTTTACTCCCTGGCTGCTGATGGACCATGTCTTTTCTGAATTTTTGTTTTGGTGTAGAGCGTCCCGCCATAACCGATATTCTGCCCGCGGTCCCTCGATCGGTATATTGCTCGTGATGGGATCATCGGTTGATGGTGACTGTGGGGGAGGGGTAGTCATCCCCGTGTCGCCAGCATTTGTAAAACAAGGGCCTTTGGGGACTTGCTGCACCCTCTTCTCCTTCTCGGTACGCTCTAAAGATGTTCCTCGACCGCGCGCTCGACTAAAGAGCTGTCGTGGATTGGAGATTAGTGCATCGAACCCGTCTCGGTCTCGAAAGATAAACTCTGTGGCGTTGGCCATAGAAGTCGTTCCCTGGCTGGCAGCGGGTCGCGAATGAGCTTGCGAATTCGATGTCGGTATGGCCATCTTTGATAAGGGCTTTTGGTTGCTACCTTCAGTATTGGCTCGACGAAGATTCCATTGTGTTTCGGTCGGGGAGTGTGGCAAGGGAGTAGAAGTGAATTGAGGAGTGAATTGAGGGTGGGAGGGCGTAGAAGACACCGGAGGATTGGCCGCCAGCGCTTGTGTCAACAACGACATCGGCTTAGGGTGAGAGGGAGGAGTTGCCAGTCGGTTGTATTCCTTCGAAGAAGCATCCTGGCCACCTTCGTGATCTTGGTCTTGTACCGGCCTCACCTGCGCGGTGGAGGCGACAGGGTCAGGCACAGGAAAGCTGGACATGAGGAGGCTGACATTTATTGAGTGAGACAGATGCTGCTCACTGACGAAAGGAGACGACAGAATTTCGCACGCGTTGGGCCGCAATGGCTGGCAAAGACGACTTCGCCGGGTGGAGTTGTGGCGGGGTGTGGGCCAAAACTGCCGGCGCGGACGATGCGATGCGACGTGATGTTGTGACGACCTTGAGGCAGGTAGAGAGGGTTGGGGAAGGGTCGTGGGGAAACGCGGGATCGTGGGATTGTTTTTGATTGTTGGATCGTGGGATCGTGGGATCGTGGGATTGCAGGAGGGAGGGGAGAGGGGGGTGGTGGAAAGGGAGAGTTATGGATAGCGACAGAATGGCTCTGTCAATCACGTTGCGAACTTGCGACGAAGGGAGTGGAGGGAAGCGGCAGTGGAGTACCTCTGTGGGTAGTGGAGTGGAGTAATCCAAATGACAGAGACTACAGAGTAGGTACTGAGTCGGAGTCGGTGTGGTGAGCACAGGCGTTGATGGGGAATGAAATGAATGGGCTTTGGGCTTTGGGCTGGGCAGGAAGGTGTGCAGTTGCAACAGTGACTTGGGTGGGGACAGGGCAGGCGACTTCGGTCCGCTGTCGGGTGGGCGCTGGCGATCTGAGGTGGGTGAATCGCCAGTGACGAAAGGCCGCAGACAATGAAACAATTCCTCGGTACCTACCCTACCCTACTCAGAGAAGCCGAGACATTTCAGACCACCTCCGTACACAACCGATTGCTATAACACCAGAACCTGCGTATTATATACATTTCTTGACGTCGGTAGGGACAATATTATTCATTACGGTGCCAGTTCATCGGCAACGCCACTTTTCCTGTCCTTTTCGCGAGTTTGCATCGTGCCATCTGTACTCAGCAGGCACGCATTCAACCTAGGTATGTACAGGTAATGTACAAAGCCTATGTGAATCGCCGAGGGTACAACCTAGGAACAATCTCATTCTGTGACAAGTCCTGCTGGACGGCGAGTACGAAGTGGTTTCTGAGTAGGTACCGTACCAATACTCTAGACACGGTGCCTGTTGACTTCCAGCATCATCCAGGCAGACCATCTCACCACCACCTCATGATCTCACCACCAGCGCAGTAACAAATCCAAAATTATGGAACGATGGGTATAACGGGCAGAAAGACGAAGACGTGGTTCGCCAATCTTCGTCGCCCGTTGAGAAATCCCCTGTCGATCTAAACGATGCCCTGAAAACGATACCACCCTATCAAGCAACAATGTGTTGCAAAATGTCGCGGCACTCGACTGGAAAAGTTGCTTCATCTGCATCAATCCTTCGGCGTTTTACTACAACTCAATCTGCGATAACCCACATAGTCGATTGGGGCCCTAGATATCGCTACAAACCAACATGAGAGGCCGGATTGAATGCTGATTGGTTGACTGGGTACAGCGACGATAGCCGAGACAAGAAAGGGGAGCCATCCGAGAGATCTGCGGGAGCTGCCACCACATCCGTTGCCCCGGGGCACTTCCCGTTCTGCCACGTGGGGGTATCACGTCTTGAAACTGATATGGCAATTGGTTCTCGAGACCAGTAAAGACACGATGTCAGAAAAATATCATTTGCGAGGGTATTCTAATCAGCACCATGCTCCAAAGCTCCGTTCATCCGTCCGTTTCCTGCTTATATTGCAAACATATTACACACCAAGCCCAACGTATTATTATGAACATAAGTCCTGTTATACCTCAATATCAAGGTCAGAGGAATATCCTCATGCTGCTAGGTGATTCCAAACAGTCTCCGTCTCTTAGCACCATTATCCTCGGCCTCACTGGTCTTGTTCAGCTCTCTAGCTTTCTGAATGTCCGCCTCAACCGACCATTCCCCTAGAAAATCGGCAACTTCCCCAAGAACATCATCCATGTTAAAGTTAGTCTGAAACCCATCGCCCTTACTTTTAGTAGGGCTGTTGAGATTAGAGATTGAATCTTCAAGATCCTCGCTGTCATCCCAACGCATAACATTGGTAGTGCGAGGCTTCAAGTAACGGGAAGGTCCACGAGATGCTTCCTTTGGTGCTTCTTGATCTGCCGTAACAAAGGCCTCAGCCATTGCACCCACAGATGGGCTGTTGTTCGTGATTGAATTCTCGAGAATCAATCGTCGTGGATTTCTAATGGCGCTGAAATGTTTCTTGAACCCCGAAGCAATAGTGCCATCAGCCAATGTCTCCTCTTCAAAGAGCTCGATGGCTTTTAGAGGAGGTGGCGAGTATCGCCTTACGCTTCTGCTTCGGACAGGCTCAGTTTTCTCTTCTTCCTCTTCGAGTATCCCAAACGAAACCCTCTTTCCTGGCTTGGCTGGATTCCTTTTGGGCGTTTTCCACGGGTTGTTCGTTGCGGCTTCTATCAAATCCTGGGTATTCTGGGGCTCATACTCACTCGCATCGGGACTTTTTGCTGACAATTGAGGTGGCGGAGTCATCAAATCATTGAATGGCCTCAAGTCGTCGTTTTCGGGTGTTTGTGGACGCTCGATGTGCTGCCAGGAGGTATCCTCCAAGGGAGCGTGGTCCGTAGTGTCCATTGCCTCGCGATCATGCAAGTCGTGATCGATTGATTGAGTATGCTTGACCTCGCTAGGAATACCATTTGAATAAGGGGGTACAATGCTTGCAACTGCCCATGGACTTTGTTCTTCGGGCTGTAGAACCTGTGAAACTTGCACAGGTGTTTTTGAGTGTATTTGGTCGACCACCACAAGATCCACCGCCTCAGGCGGAGCTCTGGCGCTAACATACTCAACATCATCCTGACCTATAGAACTGATAGAACCACTGATCTGAGACCGTGCCGAATTTACTGGGCTTGAAGCTGGGTCTGAAGTATGCGGAGAAGTACTCAAACGACATCGAAGTATAACATCCGGTTCACCACTTTGTACAATGCGATTCGAAGAACCAGACCCAAGAACGTCATCCAGCGGAGCAAACGGACTCTCAAGTGGTGCCTGCTCAACGCTTTCGCTGTCTCTCCCTCTCTTTTGCGAGTGGCTTTCAGTAGCCCGAGAACTTACAGAGGAACCTTGCGATAATTGAGGAATTGCGGACCGCTGGGGGGTTGTGTTGAAGGATTGCGTACTGAAATCGTATATACATCTTGAGGTCTCCACTTTGGCGTTATCATCGCCTTCTGGGGAGTATTTCCTTGAAATTTGATGTGCTGAATTGGGCAGTAATTGCGAAACTGGAACTAGACTCGATAAAATTGGTGAGGCTGAGATATGGCTATCGGCTACAGCTTCTTCAGGAATAGAAACTACAACCTCAGGTGGGTCGTTGACAGGGGAGCTAGACTGGGAAAGAATGTCTCGCAAATTATGTAGCGACTGGCCAACCTCATCCTCATGGTCCGAGGAATCCTCACCATCTGTTTCTTCATTTTCCGAGGACCTCTCCTCCTCTTGTATTGAACAGGATTTCTTGGGGGAAGAATGAGTATACCAAAGAGCGATTGGGCCGGATGCTAGAACATTTTCATCTTCGCCATGTTCTTTGTGTACCGAATTTTCAACTTCGGCTTCTTGTATCTCTAAATGGATGGCTTGGTGGGTGTTAGTCTTCCCCTCGCCTTGTTCTATCACGCCAATTTCCGATGCCGCCTCACTTAATTCAGGAACGCCACCACTAATGTTTATCGGCTGAGAAATCTTCAAAGATTGTCTACCAATTGAGATTGCTTGGTGTTCATGCTCACTAGAGCGGAGCTTTAGAGGACTTGATTTCTCCTTCTTGGGCCGTCTTTTTCGATATTGAAATTCTTCCAAATTTTGCGATGCAGCTGCAACCTCGGTAACAAAGCTGTTTCCTTCTTCCATCCCAGGCTGGCTCGCACAACGTTTTTTCACAGAAGAATGTAGTAAAGCTGGGACTTTAGTGACAAGGTCGCCCTTTTCGCGAGAAGTGGTTTGCGCAGCGCGGGACCTTGGATCGGTGAGTGGTGATGACAATGGAAGTGTATAGCGACCAGTTGATTGTAAGTCTTTGTTGCCGGCGATCGAGCCAGGCGTCTTGTATAGCGGAAAAAGACGAATTGGGTCATAGGACAACGTTTCTCTTTCCACAGGAGACTCTGTATATCGACGTTCGACGTGCCGAGATCTTTGGGAGGGTCCGATTCGGGTGGGAGGCTCTGAAGTTATTTCCTGGTCATGTATGACCATGGTATTCGAATACAATGGCTGAAAATCCGGAGTCCAGCCTGGAAGAGTTAGAGGTTGTTTACTGATTTGATAATTTCCAGATAAAGGGGTTTGCACAGGAGGTAGAACGAGCCCTTCCTGATTATTGTTTTGCAATGCCTTTCTTGGAATATCTTGGAAGCTAGCAAACGGGTTTGGACTAGACAAATGTTGCGTGCTATCCCAATCTCCTGGCTCACGGCGAACCGCCGGGCGAGGTCGTTGGATCCTCGAATTTAATCCAGCCAAATTTGGAGTCGGTGTAGCCAAAGATGGACCCTCCCAACGAGCACGTTTCGAAGGGTAAGAGCCTTTAAGCCATGTCGGATTACCGTCAAGACCCCCCCTCTTCCTACTTTGTAGCCCAGTGTGCTGCTCATCGTCGGAATGTGGTGAGGTATCGTTATTGCTGATTTGCGCATTTGGTCTCGAATCCATGTTCTGGGTATGTGACTGTCGCAGCATCATGGTGTCGTTTTGCTCGGTAGCCCATGATGAAGAGGCTAGGCTACCTTCGGACGCCGGTATTATAGTGGACCTAATTTGTTCGTTTTGGAGGCTTGAATAGCGTGTCTCGTCGTCCGGTCCTCCTGTCTCACCTCCTTCAGTCGTCCCATCTTGTTCACACCCTCTGTTGTCGGTCGCATTCAATTCGGGCGTATGGCAATGGGCAACTCGAGCCGCAGGTCTTTCTCGTATGTGCGATTGCTTGCGCCATGGATTCGACCAGTTGTCTAATGAATGCGTCAGGCTCGTAGATTGCAGGGTTGGCATAAACCCGCGGGTGTATCGACGTGCATGCTCTTCGTAACGCTTCCGTTTCGCGCGTATTTCCTGCTCACTTTGCTCGTTATCGCTGCCTTCACATATGAGGTCTTCGGGGAGATAGGCTGAGGAGTTGTAATAGGGCTCTTCGAAGTAGGGAGTGTCTTCCAGAGCCCGGCGAGTATAGCGATTCATGGTTACGAATCTACTATGTGAGTGGCAGAGCACTCCTTTTGGTGGAGGAATTGTTGTTTGGATGTCATCAGGCTCGGTACGTAGCTAGTTAGACGCAGGCACCTAGATGGGCGCAGGTAGCGGGGTTTAGAGCGTGCACATGGTTGTGTGGACTAAAAAGGCGCTATAGAAGTGGTTGGTGCAGAGACCGTGGACGAGAATAGATCTGGCCAGCGCGGAGTCAGGCGCGAAGGAACGTGACTACGTGTAAAGTGTATGCATCACCCTTCCCGAGGTCCCGTTCCAAGACTCCCATTATATATCCACCCATCCATCATAGATAAATTACCTATGGGTAGGTATGGCTTGGTACTTTATTGATTGATTGGTCTTTCACAAATTCAAGGCCATGAAATCTCTCGTCCAAGAACTGATATAGACATACGGAGTATTTGTATTAAATCATGTAAGATTACCCTGGTATACACCTACCTTAGGATGATAGACAGGTCAATGACAGAAACAGTTGATATCCGGGTACAATCGATGGACCGCATTCTCAATCTCTCACACTTTGCTGACTCTTGCTTTGCCTCATGAACTTTTCACACTATCTACGTACCGCTGTACTGTACAGTACTCTGTAGAGCCTCCAACTTCCAAAGTGATCGTATCCGACTGGGTATTTTCCAGGGCAGGAGTGGAAGGGTAGGTAGGGTGAAGGTGCAGGTAATGAGTAACCGACCAGGTTTTGTCGTTTTGATCGCCGTTGCCATGCCAATGGCGCTTGGACCACATCTTAAAAAGTGGGTGTGATGTTCAATTGCCATTGCCAACGCGATCATCGATTGTCCCTCTTCGCGTATGCCAACCGCAGAAGAATCCTCCGACCACAGGGACTGTATCTACTAACCACAGGTATTCCTTATTGGCACATTCAGGTCCACCAATATTGATTTCAATCTCGACTATAGCAAAGTTCAACTCCACCCATCAACGTCACAACGGTGCCCCCAACGCATCTGCGCGTCCAAAAACACGCCCGCCGACCCAACAGGCGCGAGCACAACAATTGACACGAGTACGTAGGTACAGCACCAGCACTCATGCCGACCAGCGCATAACCCCAATACGCCCACACACACAACTTCTTGCACAATGGACAAAGCTTGGTTGGAAGACCTCTCGGAGGATTGGCCTTCGGAACCAAAGCCATCTGGCTCACGCTCGCCCTCACGCTCACCTGCGCCTTCTCTGCCAACCTGCAACTCAGTATCGCCGCGCACTACCCCTCGTCCACAATCCCAACACAGTCGCATACCAAAATACAACCCACAAAAGAAGAAATCGGCCGCAGAATTGGGCCAATACGGTACCCCTTTGAGCGAGCGAAGTTTGAGTGACGCCAATGTTCCATTATCCCAACGAGCATCGAAAATTCCTTCGAAATTGCGGGATGATATATCGCATAACATTCGCGAGGAAGAAGGCACTACACGCCATAGGTCGCATTCAGACTCGGCCAACGGATCAGTGCAGTATAACACAATCGAATACGGCTCGGTCAATATCTCGCCAAATAAAGCGAACCATGAAACACCTGAATGGAGAAGACGATTATTACAGGGCGATGTTGCATATGGCGAAAAGCGCGATCTATTTAGTTCCGCAGGGCTTGAAAATATATTCAAACCTCCGCCTGCAACGGCAAAACCGCCCAAGAATTTCGAAGAATCAAGCGTCATGCCGTCCAGTCCCCCGCCATACAACCATCGAAAAGCCCAGTCAGAAACAGGATCTTTTAGTGGAGAGGAGGTCGACGACGCGGCTGAAAAACAGGCTAGACAGCCGCGGCAGATTCAGTATAGACGAGCGAGTGATGGCATGAGCGAATTCTCTTCCAAAAATTTGAGTAGGAGTAGCAGTTTTCAGCCTAGGATATCCGCAGACCACAATTCCAACCAGGGGAAGGGAGGCGACGACCTTTCGATGGGGGCCGAGTCTTCTGTGATACACCAGAACAGCCAGAAAGATATACCTGGCCGTGTTATCAGCGGACAAAGCGATTTTCACAACGAGGAGTTTAGCCCGGTATTTATCTCAAGGCAGCCAACTGGCACTGGTAACATTGATTTTGTCGCCGGGATCCCACCTGCAGAATTGAATAAGCGTTTAGAGGAATTTCGGGAAGAATCGGTGGACATAACGAATGACGATTTCAATGATTCCGACGCCAGTGAGAAACTCGAATTAACTGCGGACCCGGATGATTTTGCTCACAATGGGAGATTCGTCAATCTTCGAAGGGGAGGAAGATCGCAAGAAGCCTCTTTTCAAAGACGCATGTTAAGTCCTTCTTCGCTGCCAGCTATTGATGAGTCCGCAATGTTACCAGAGGAATCAATGCAAGCAAGCACGCCCAAGAATCTCCCCACATTTAACCCCGTGTTCAACAAAACGAGAACGTCAGATCAACAGGAAAGACAAGCGTCTTCTAGTCGAAGCTTGTCTCCTATACCACAAACGCCGTATGCCAATCCTAGCAAGTCAAAGGAGAAACAAAATGAAAATAATTCAGGCAGTCCTTTGAAACTTTTTGACACCTACGATACCTTCACAAATCAGAAGCTTCTACGCCGGCTGAGTCAATTTGAAGAATGCAGTAGTCAGGATAAATCTTTACCAAATCATGAAGCATCACGTTCAGCCTCAGCGGAAACTACAATCAGGACCGGGGGAAGTAAGACTACTCAACAGAAAGCTTCAGCCAAGTTCAGTAGTTTTGGAAAGGGAGACTTGGATGATTATCAATTCAGCGAGGATATCTCATATGACACTCAGAAGTCAGATGAGGACTGCAGCATGAACCATCTTCCAGTTCTTGATCGGGCCCAAACGACATTCACTTTCCAGTTGGACCTTTCGCCAGAGCACGATAAAGGCAACAACATAGCCTCGGTAAAAACGAAATACACAGCCAATTCGACACATACAACAAGCACTGTCAAACAGAGAACTACCATTCAAACTGCTCGATCAGGAACTGCTAATTCTGATTCTACGACGGAATTGCCCTCATACAAGTTAGTTGAGGACCTGCAGACTCCTAGAAAACGTGATGGGGATGCAGATGGCAAACGGTTACGCATATCACCCTCGAAGGATTCCACTCCGAAACGGCGAAGAACGCTGCAGGAAAACGAAGTAGAAGTTGCTTGCTCCGATAGCGAGGTGGAATCGGAGTCGTTTGGAGAGAGAGAGGATCAGTCGGTTATTGGGAAGAAAGAAAAAGATGCAAGTTATATTGATGACCAACAGGCTGCAAATCCAAAAGTACTTGCCATGCGCGAAATACTTCGTCCGCGATCGCCAACTCCAAGCCAAAAGGGTCAGCACAAGATAGGGAGCAATTCACGCTCACAATCAGGACGACATTTCTTAGAGAAAGCAAGGCTATTACAGAACCAAAGGATTGCGCAGGTGCAAGCCGAACTTGACGCAAGCGACGGCCAGAGGCTAGCACAAGCGGTTGGTGCAAGTCAACATTTGATCGATGGAAACCGTGTGGGTTCTGTCACCACGCAAGATTTCTTGGACGAAGCCAAGAAAATCATGGCCGGCATAAGAGGAAAAGCCCTACCTCGGAGCGGTTTAGCAAGTTTGGAAGAGAGCGAGGCAGACAACGATCGACAGCGTTCCATGGACGGGGTCGAAGTTGAGGAGGAGGATTTGGAAGATTCCTATCAAGAGTCAACCAGGGAACCGTTTTCTCGTCCACCCAGTCGCGATGGTGCACCTATACAGAGATTGCCACAGAAACAAGTGGACCCAGAACTTCTCAACCATCTACGGAAATATCAGGAGACAAACGATTTCGAAGGAGTTGTTGCTTCCTCGGCGAGGTCGATCTCAATGGCAAAGGAAGCCACTAATGCTATCAGAGAAGCGCAAGAGGTTGCAGAAGGAAAACGTTCTAGGGTATTAAGTCAACAGCCAAGCCTGGGAGAGTACATTGAAAGTGATCCCCCAAATATTCGACTCTCGGCAAATCCAGACCTTCTACGGAAGAGAAAGCATTCAGCCACTTCAACTAACCCAAGTAGGGTTGTTTCCGGTGACGGACAGGACCCCGAGTTTCTGACGCAAGGTTATGCCTCCTCGGGCAGTCAATCAACATCTAGATCAATACCAACCGCATCGTCGAGGGGCTCTGACTCGAGGCGTGTAATCGCGCCAGAAACAGTATCTCACCTTATACCTGAGCAGGTTGCTGGTATGGTCCTCGATCGTCAACGCAACATCTGGATCAAGAGAAAGAATAGTACGGACGAGGGGAATCTCAATTTCTTACCTTCTGACGAAACTGAAGAAGACCCATTCGGGGGTATTCCAGATTTATCCGTTGATGAAACCCAGGAACTGCAAAGAATCAAGACTGTTGCTGCTCAACTTAAACACACTACCGAGCTTCTAGAGGAGCACCACAATCAGTATCACAAAAACTTGATTACAGCATATTCACCTGCTAAAAAGCCAACGGGTGAGGCAGTGGCGATGGCCAGCTCGATACCAGCGAATTCCGAATATGGCTCAGAAGATGACGACAGCCACTTGTCAGCAATTCCACGAGAAACCAGCCCTATGACACATCGCCAAAAGCAGGCGGAACTTGAAGAACAACTGGACATGGAGGAAGAAATTGAGAAGGAGATCTCCATACATGAGGATCGTATCCGGCCGATAACCCCACCACGTCGGCGCAATGTCACCATAACCTTCTCATCTCCACTTGCTGAGCTCATTCCACCAACTCCGGACCAAGATGTGTATTCCTCTTCTTTTCAACGTGATAGCGATGAGAGCCAGGATGAGGGAAATAGTACTATCATCGTCACCAAGAATGCAAGCAAGCAGAGATCGGTGTCTTTGAGGGTGCGTTCCTCTATGAAAAAGCCGTTACGAAGAGGCTCGCTTCGCGGTCACAGCTTTCCGGTGCGCCCGGTATCACGTATTGATGAGCGGGACGAGGATGGATACAATGGGGAGTTTCAGCAAAGAAGCGTCAGCGTCGCTGCAGGAACACCAGCAATCTCACGACGAGCTATCAGTACCACGTCCTTGACCCCGCGGCCAACTCACGAGATTGGACGCTTGAGTCTCAGTCCATTATCCGAGTTTACAATGCATCAAGACGACGAATCATTTGGTCTTAATGTCAGTTATGTAGATGGCGGACAGCCATTTCAGCACGGAACCAATACGAAAAAGACACTATCTCGTACCATAAAAGATCTTGTTGAGAAAATCACCGAGGTTGAGCCGTTCGAACCATTCTGGGAGCATATTAAGGAAATGGACCTCAGTAACAAGGACCTCTCAAATCTGCACAAGCTTGACGAGTTTTGTGGGCAACTCGTGGAACTCAACGCTTCCCACAATCAGATAAATCAGTTGGACGGAATATCAAGTTCAGTGAGACATTTACGTATCTCTCACAACTGTCTCAGCGATCTCACTGCTTGGGGCCACCTCCGCAACTTGCAATATATCGATATCTCGAACAATGAAATTGAATCTCTGTCAGCGTTTAAGAACTTGTTTCATCTGAGAGGACTCCGCGCAGACAACAACATGATCAAGTCAGTTGATGGTATAAGTCAGCTCGATGGTCTTATAAGCTTGCGTCTCCGGGGCAATCTTGTTGAATCGATCGACTTTCGGGGCACGGAGCTTCAAAGATTAACGCATCTTGATCTCAGAAACAACCAAATCCGCGATGTTCAGAACTTGCATGAGCTACGTTCTCTTTCAGACCTTGATCTAGAAGAAAATCAGCTAAGCAGCTTTTATGTTGAAGCTCCCGAGGGCCTCGAGACACTGAAAAGTCTCCGGCTAGGTGGTAACGACTTGGAGCGTATTGATATCGGCCCATATCCAAATCTGCGCACCCTTTATCTCGACAAAAATCGCCTCGTTCACCTTACTGGATTTCTCAAAGCAAAGCACTTAGATAGCTTGTCACTAAGAGAGCAAAAGGAAGGCGCTGTCATCGACCTCTCATTCCTTTCCGAGGCATTCGAGATTCGCAAACTTTTTATGTCTGGAAATCTGATCAACTCATTTGAACCCAAAGTCGATTTCCTGAACTTGCAGTACCTCGAACTTGCAAATTGTGGATTAGAATCATTGGCCCCCAATCTCGGACAACTCATTTGCAACACTCGCGTACTGAATCTCAATTACAACGCTTTAAGGGACATTTCCCCTCTGGTAGGGATTGTGCGTCTGAAGAAGCTTCACTTGGCCGGCAATAGACTGACCAGTCTGAGGAGGGTAACAGCCGATCTATCAGAATTCCCGGGTGCCACCTTGATTGATCTCAGAGCAAATCCTTTGACTCAAGGATATTATCCTCCTGTCTTGGACGGTTCCATGGTTCTGAGGCAGCACAACGAAGAGATACCATTGCCGGAGCCCTATACAATGGCCAGAGCTGATAGCTTCAGAGACGCAAAATATGCCAGGTGCTTGGACATGTCTACGAAGATGCTCAGAAGACTTTTTGAGATCATGATGCTTCGTGGATGCCCTCGATTGAAGGTTCTGGATGGTCTAAATGTCAATCGTGCACTTTTGGATTCTAGGGATAACATATGGGACGCTCTCGTCGCCCGTGGACTCGTCATTGACTTTGGATCCGATGCTCCAAAAGCCTGTCAGGCTCAGATAACGCAACCGGAAGCGCCCGGCAATGTGACGGCTGCGGCGTCGAAAGCGGATGTTGAAGATGCCAAACGTGCAAGTGAACAGGAGCAAGAACCCGTGCCTGTGGAAGCAAAAATACCGGAAACACCGGTTTTCGAGGAGAGATGGGGAGCAGAAGACAGTTTTGCGTGATGGCCGCCTGAAGAATGAAGAATGAATGAATGATTTATGTAGAGTTTTAGTGTTTGGGGTGTTTTGTAAGGCTAGGGCCATGCATGGTTTGGGGAGTTTGGCATGGACATGCAAAGGTGTTTTATTATTGTTATAGGTAGCCGCGGTATTGGTAATGACTTAATGATTGATCATGGCTGGTTAAGTAAGAGTACGGCATAGGGAGATAGATAACCTCAGGTTCTCAATGAAAAATCATCTCGGAAGTTATAATACTTTTCTACATTTTGTTCTTGTGACGCTCTGTCTTAATATATCGTACACAGATGATATCAATATCTGATCGAAACCCCCTAAAGTTTTGGTTTGGGGGTGCTTTTCTTCCACTCCGCAACTCTCCTCTTTCCATTCTCCCTTCGTCTCACTTCTCCCTCCGGCAGGTCGCCAACCAACTTCGCATTTTCTTTACTTTCCAAATAACCCAAAGTCTCCTTGAACATCTCTTCCTTCATGGTCCCATAGATTCCCGTCTTACCCATCAAAGTCAATTTCCTCTCCTTCACCAGAGTCAGAGCTTCATCTAGGCCCCCTAACCCATCGACGATTCTATTTTCTAAAGCATCTTTTCCATTCCAGCGTTTAGCTTCGAGGACCACGGCTTTGTAGACCGAGGGATCGAGCTTTTGACGGAAAATACTGGACATAGGTGGTAGGAGAGGAACTCCGAACTCGAGCTCGTTGATGCACAGGAAGCCGCGTGTGGGGCTGAAGATCCGGTAGTCGTGGTACATTGCTAGCATGAAGCCGCCGGCAAAGGCATGGCCGTTTATAAGGGCTATGGTTGGCATGGGGTAGCTTTTTGGGGCGGGACTCATCAGCTTTCTACATTTCACTGGGTGGCTAGGTTGGGCTGCGGAAGCGCTGGAGCAAGGTGAGTCGCAACTCACGTTATCAATCGTCTGAAGAGTGCCCAGAGGCTGTTGGGGAGGAACCCATCAGTGGTCGTTGCATGCTCGAGGTCGAGGCCGTTGCTGTAGAACTTGGGGATGGCTGAGGTGGTGATTACTACTCCGGTTGGGTACTCGAATTCTAGGATGTCCAGGGCTAGCAGGAAGGTTTGGCAGAAGCAGGATAGGAGACGGTTGTCGGGGGCAGAACCGAATATGAGGAGGTACACGCCTTTGGAGGGTTGTTGGCAGCTGATTGAGCCAATCGGTTTGGCGTCTGGGGATGGACTGATGGGGAGAGTGAAGAGAGTTGGGAGGGATGCGGATGCCATTTTGGGTGGTGATCGATGGTGTTGTTGGTTGGAAATAAGTTGGGTTAAGAATAATTGACAGGACTTTTACAGTATGGGCGTGATTTATTGCAGGTACTCGATATCAAAGGTACAACTGTACAGGAGTGATTGTAATCTTACTTTTGAGTTGTGAAAGATTTCTTTTCATGTGCTTGATCACTGCCCATGACTACCGCGAAGTTGGCGTCTTGGAGCCTCGGCTCGCAAGGCTGACATTGGCGCAGATGCAGGTGAATTTGGTGGGGGTCACTGGGGCCAACTTCAGCCTTGCAGGGCCCTAAAACCCCCCTTGCTGGTCCCTGCCCCTGTCGCTTGGCCGCGAGGCCAGCAGCATCATCAGAGATCTATCAAGAGAGGTCTTGAGCTGTCACTAACAACACCATGGCGCCAAAACCGCCCACCAGTACGAAGCCGCGGACCATATTGTTCTTCCATCCAGACCTGGGAATTGGGGGTGCTGAGAGGTTGATAATTGATGCAGCCGTAGGTTTACAAAATCGAGGGCATAAAGTGGTCATATTTACCAGCTATTGCGATCCCAAGCACTGCTTCGATGAAGCTCGCGATGGTACCAAACCTCACTCAGACTTTTTCGCAGACCAGATCTTAATTCTTACTTAGGGACATTGGATGTGCGCGTCCGTGGAAATACTATAATTCCAGCCTCAATCCTCTCTCGGTTGACGATAATCTGCGCCATCCTGCGCCAGTTCCACCTCATTCTTTCGACATACTTCACATCCGAAATGAGATCACTAAAGCCAGACGCATTCGTTGTAGATCAATTGAGCGCAGGTCTCCCTTGGCTTCGATATTTTTACCCTCAAACACGCATATTGTTCTACTGTCATTTCCCCGATTTATTACTTGCGCAAGGCAGATCGTCCTTGTTCAAGCGATTATATAGGGTTCCTTTCGATACGCTGGAACAATGGAGTATGAGTTTTGCGGATTCTATTGTGGTCAATTCGGGATTTACCAAAGGAGTGGTGAGCAGAGTATGGCCGGAGCTTGTGAAATCGAAGGATCTTGAGATTGTTTATCCATGTGTTGATGTGAGAGAGAAGACCTTTGAGGAAAAGGAAGAAGCAGTTGCGGCGTGGGGGGACAGAGGGGTAATTTTGAGTATTAATAGATTTGAGAGGAAGAAGGATATCGGTCTTGCTATCAAGGCCTACGCAGGACTTGGGAAACATGGAAGAGAGGGGACCAGACTTGTACTTGCCGGTATGTTATCTCATTATGGTGGAAAAGGAAGCGCTAATATTGGCCAGGTGGATATGACCATCGTGTGCAAGAAAACGTACTCTGCCATAAGGAACTTGTAACTCTTGCGGAATCCCTTGGGCTCAAAACTGCTACCACCAAAACAATTGTAACAGCTTTGAATGTCGCTGATGATGTCGACGTTTTATTCCTACAATCTGTACCAAATGCCCTGAAGCAAATACTACTGGCATCAGCAAGCTTGTTGGTTTACACGCCATCCAACGAGCATTTTGGTATTGTGCCCTTAGAGGCAATGCTGGCTGGTATCCCGGTACTGGCAGCCAATACCGGCGGTCCACTCGAGACTGTGGTCCATGAGAAGACAGGATGGCTATGCCCACCCAATGATGTCGAGAGCTGGACTTCGGTCATGAACAAAGCAGTTCATAAAATGTCTAAGAAGGAACTAGAAGCGATGGGTAAAACTGGGAGAGAAAGAGTAAAGAGAGAGTTTTCCGACATGAAAATGGCTGAAAGACTCGATACAATCATAACCAAAATGGAAGAGGTTAAGCGAAGAAGTGCCCGAGAGCTTTCGTTGTTCGTCCTGTCTATTGGCATCGTTACGCTGGATGCGTTGCTGAATCTTGCGTCTTGGACTGGGGCCCTGACGAAGACGATTGGAGGCTTTCCGCCTATGATACCAACTCTATTGGTCGTTGTTTCGTGGATTTCGTATCTGGCTGTGGGAACTTCTCAGGCTCGAGGGCGTCCTGAAGATGCGATTCTGAGTCGGACGTGAGAGGGGTTAGATTATCTTAGTAAATACTACTAGATAGGTGTACAAAATGAACCTCAATTGCTCCATTAGTTTTCAGTTGTGAAGTAATCACTAGCACGACTCCTGCATGTATATGAAACGCATTCATGGTGCCTTGGCGCTAGTAGACGTTAGCGCGAAAAAGAAAAGGATTCTGGGATTGGCCAGGATGCGCGTTGGCTCTCTAACACGATTAAAAACATTCAACGACGCAACACAACACATGACAAGAACATGTTGCTCTCCAGCACCACGCAACCATGTATGCGGGCAGTACGGAAGGTATTCCTGACTGCCAATGCCATCACTCACAGTCCCGTCTCCCATTCCATCCTCAACCACCGATGTATACGAGCATTTACGGAAGAGAACACCGCCAGACCGACGCGATATCAAGCTGTCGTCGTTGGAGGTGGACCTGCGGGCCTCGCAGCGGTTGCAAACTTGTTAGACCAAGGAAAAAAGCCTATATTATGGTCGGATCCATCCTTTGAAGGCGGACGATTGAATAAGAGATATCGTGAGGTGCCTAGGTGACAAGCTCCCCGCCCCGCCACCTGCACCTTGTTGAAACACGTGATATTTTACTGACATCTACATATTTGCCCTGTAGCAATACGAAAGTCAAAAGATTTGTAATGTATGCTGAAGGGGCCGAGAGTTTCAAGAAAGTCATAGAAGAAAGCGAGAAGCCGAATGCATACACGGCGCTGAAGGACCTGGACCAGGAACAGACATGTAAAATCGCCCGAGCAGGAGACTTGTGTGCTATGCTGTCAGACGGTTTTAATGAATCGCATGGTGTTTACAAACATAATGATGATACCCTCCGTGTAACTTTGACACCTGTAAGCAGTTGACCCTCCATCTTCAAGTTTGCAACCAGTTAACAAGAGACAGACTGAGGGGTGGGAAGTAGAGCTAAACAAGGCTCCCTCGGCTCTACAATCCGAGATGGTGGTCCTTTGCACTGGTTCTATGCCTAAAGTCGATTTTCTTCTTCAGTTCCATGCTCAAACAAATATCGTGCATCTCGATCACGGTTTAAAACCATCTGTCCTTCATAAGAAGATTGGTGGCGGTATTAAGCCTGAGACTGTGGCAGTTATCGGCTCCTCTCACAGCGCCATTCTTGTCCTCCGAAATCTGTACAATATTGCTAAAGAATCACTTAAACCAATCCAGATCAAATGGCTTACACGTCACCCTTTGCGATATGCCGTGGAGAAAGATGGCTGGATCCTCCGAGACAATACTGGACTCAAAGGCGAAGTGGCTACCTGGGCCGCCGACCACCTCGAAGAAGACAAACTAGCTACTTCCGATGTCGGCAAGTACATCGAAAAGATCAATACTTTGCACTCAAACGGTGGAGATGATTTGAGGGTATACAAAGAACAATTCCATAAATGTACCAAAGCAATATTCGCGATTGGCTACAGAAAGAATCCCCTTCCTCAGATATTCAGAGGTAAAGAGGAGATTGGAGTCGAATTTGACCACGAGACTGGAGGCTTCAAGGATTCAAAGACGGGAGACAAGATTGAGGGGTTGTATGGGGTGGGCATCGCGTTTCCCGAGAGAGTTGTCGATCCAGAAGGGAATGTGGAGCATGCGGTTGGTTTGTGGAAGTTCATGTCGTTCTTGAAGAAAGTGGTGCCAACGTGGACTTGAGCGCTGGAACCCGGTTGTCTATATATGTGTTTATACGTACTTAAGATTGGCCAAAGATATGTAGGGAATACTGGATTCCATTTCTCGGGTCCATTTGGCCTTGATAGATTTGGGATTGGTTTATCTCATTGGCTGGTTTTGAGTTAGGGGAGTTAGCTACTGTGTGTTCGTCAAAGGAGCACATAAACAATCCAATAGAGAACATTCTCAGACTGAAATGACCGGCTTCTTTTGCAACGCTCTCAAACATGGCATCAGATTTCTTATACAGATTCATTATTTTTTTTGCTACGATCTATTCAGTATTCCTACTCTACTCCCATGGTATTGTCACAACTGCACCAAAATCTATGACTTACCCTATACAGATGGTTCAACAAATTCTCCGGGTTAGATCAGGGAGATTAAACTAACTGACAACGTTCGGCATCTGGAATTCTATTCTATTTAGTATATTAATAAAAGGAGTCCATTCCAAAGGGGGTATTCCATAGAGTTTTATAGAATTCTTGCTGGAATTTGTTACATAACCTAGATAAATGTACTCCCGCTCCGTAGGCTAATAGGAAGTCCCTTAGGCTTTAGGTAGTTAAATAGCAGGTTACGTAAATATCCCTTCTAGCTAGGCTCGCTAGGTACCTAGGTACCTTAGTACGGTACTCCTCTAGAGTACGCTAAACATATTCAATACTAGTAATCCTATATATTTCTAGGTTATCTAGCTCTATATACCCCCCCCTAAATCACGTGTTTTAATAGCTCTAGAATTCCATAGAACCTCTAGAATTCTAGAGGATACCCGATAGAAGGAGTCTATTCTATTTTAAGACGCTCTGGAAGGACTCTAGATAGAATAGAGTCTATAGAGTTCCATAGAATATAGTTCCAGACGTCGAACGTTGCTAACTGACTTACACCTCCTACAGTCGGGACCTTTTGCTCACACATTTTTACCTTTAGTGTCTGTTTTGCAATAAATGGAGGGATTGTCAAGGGTGTTTTTGCTCTATCCATGTTGGCATTTTATGAGGATGGAGATTTTGAAATGCTTCTTACACTCATTTCACCATCAGGATTAGAATTCATAAGACTTTTGCGAGTAGGCCTTTGAACTTGGGTATTCTTGAGTTGGCTACTGGGGATGTTTGTTGGGGGTAATTTAGGGGGTGGGATGTTAAGGTGGAATTTATGAGTGTATATCAAGATTGTTCTATATGTAAGAGAGGCGGACATTACTCTGTACACACCTGAGTTATATAAAAAATATTATCCTAAAGACATTATCCAACTAAACCAATTGTACGAATAGTTTAGAATAATTGATACTTTTTACTCCTGATTAACCTAGGTAAAATAGGACAATTGAGTTACTTGTACTAGAGCATTGACATAATGACTTTTGATAGCGTGTAATCTTACAGAGCAATGACCACCTCTCCTACTGATTCACCTCTTGAACCTTTCATAGGGTGTTGGTGGCGTTCAGAAATACAGACGAGATAGTGTGTAAGTAGGGTGAATGGGCTATGCCTTCTTGAGAACATAGGAGAACTAGCCTTGTTCGTTTTATTCACCAAGTGCGGGGCTGTCCTATTCTATCTTGAAATTAATTCACTTCATTTGCTTGATTCACTTCATTCGTTTGGAATACTCTCCGTAGCCTTTCTGGATGATATGATTTTAGTAAATAGTGTTCAGGCGAGTTACTCCTGCTGCTAAAATGTGATAATTTGATAGACTTCTTATACTAAACAGCTGACAGTGTTCCCCACTGATTATCTCACCTCAATAGACCGCCTCCAATTAATGTGACGGTACCTCTCCAAGATATCTACACTTGGCGAGGAAGATTTACTCATACTCATTCAGACACCCACACCATCAATTCCTCTCAACGCCATTTCTTCACCATGATAACCCGCTCAGGCTTACAATATTGGTGATGAATCAATATATTGTTCTTCCAATAGCCCGGTTTTTCACTCCTTGTCGACTGATAACAGCTGAACAGCCGAACACCACCAACACATAGCCCACTGACTATCGATATAAGTCCAACAAGCAGGACGGTTGCTGGGCGTGGGAAGGGGATCTTGATTGGGAATGATCTTCGTAGGTGGGCGGGTCAGATGAGCAGATGTGATTCTTGGGATGTGCTAGCAAAAGAAGAAACTTACAGGATAGATAGTCTTCGAGATTCGATGTTCTTGTTATGCGATGCGGCGATCAAAGAAATATTGTCTGTATTTGAATCAGAAGATCTAGTCATCGAGTGTTAACTTCTACTGTCAACTTCGTCCCTTTCTGGAAGCGTTCTTCCTCCTAGACGTAACAAACGTAAAATTTCAGTGGGGACTTTACGCTATATTCTACAGAGAGACACCCCTCGTAAACTTAGTACATCTTACGTTCGTTGCGCCTGAGAAGAAGTATGAGCATGTCAAGACCCATGCTGCTCACACCAGCCAGGGTCCAAACGGCTCGTCAGAACAGATTAGGTGTCCTCTCTGAGTCTTTCGCCCCATGACTATTACACCGTAGACTGAAGAAACTAAGGCAGACTTTGAAGAAGGCTAGTCCGATCAAGTAGCTCTTCTTTCCAATTCTCCAAAAAAAATGTACAAGAATAGAATCCCAACCTTGGGTATTCCATTTCCTGCAACCAGTCGGACACGTGATATCTTACGATCGCCGGAGTAATATGTGCTCGGTATATTAAAAATCGTGAGCGGCTACTGGGGATAATCTGCAGCCAGAGTGTAGTGCATGAACTATACTTTGCTCCCCCCTTATTTCCAAAACCGCACGAACGATACAGCCGAAAGGAAAACAAAAACATCACGTGGTATTCGTACCCAAAATAAAACTTCCAGGTTTTGTTCCGACTACGTACTTGCAATGGAAATACTGAGGCATCAAACAAACCCGGCATCCGAAAGAAACCTTCAACAAGAAAGGATTCCGTCCCACCCACACTGCAACGTCGTATCCCAAAGGGCCCCAAAAACCCAACAGATCACCACCCTCGCCCAGACCTTACCCTACGGCAAAATCACGCGCAACGCCCCAAAAAAAGCTTCCAGATGATAACATAGCGGATTTTGATTAAAAAGTAAATCAAATAGGTACCCTTACCAAAGTTCTCGCCTTGAAAAACACCCCCCAATTCCAAATTGCGATCCACCATCGCAACGCCTGAGCAAGTATGGAGAAAGGGCGTCGCCTAAATCCCTCTCGCCTAAATACGAGCCAAAGTAGAAGAGCCACCAACGACCAAAGAAAAACATGTATTGAGATCCATCCTAGGAGGTAGAGATGGAGCGGTCCCCACATGCTCTCAATATGGATAAGCTACTGGGTATTGACATCAAAAGAAGAGCGAGGACAAAGCGTTTGTCTTGGAAATAATTCAATTTTTTTTTCTTTCGTCTTGTATTCTTGCTTGCTTTCGTTGCTTTGCACAGCCGTCGTCAGAAAAGCCAATATTTACGTGGGATGACTGGTAGCCGATTTTCAGCTCACCACCTCGAACCAGACTCCGAGAGAGCACGCGTCATGTTGTTGGAGAAATCTGCCTTTCCATTATTGAATCAAGTCGAAATCCAATAGCTCCCGTTCTCTTTCAAGAAGGATATCCTGGGGGGAGGTGTTGGCACCGAGGCGTTTTGGGGCTCGTTTTCGGATTGCTGCCTGTACGCGAAAGGATTCTCGGGCGATAGTTCTCGGTGTAGAGGGCTCAGATGCGCAGCGAGTGATGGGAAGTGTGCGAAGTATGTATAATGACTCGGTGGTGAGGGAGGGTTGAAGTTATTTAACAAGTCTCAGTTCCGGGTGAAAGATGTCAAATATTGTCAAATAACATTCGCCAACACTATTGTGTTGAACACTTCTCATCCATCGGTTACTTTAAGTGTATTATACCCTTTTTAGAACATCTCCAGCCAGAACTTTCAGTCGAGAAAGTATTCAACATGACAGGATCCAAGTCAACCGTTTCAGTGTCGAAGTCTTTGAGCCCGTGGATACTTGTGTTACTATGCTTGCTAGTAACAATCGATGCCCAACTTCTAGAGAGAAAGGTTATAACTCGAGATGGTTCCAACTTCACACGAAAATTTTCTCTCACCCAGAACAAAAATCCCAACTGGGAACCAAGAGAAATTCCAGTAACCGACATCTATGCCCGTCCATTTCGAAAGCATAGAATCCGCATGCCAAAGCAACTCCGAGAAGGTGTCATGGAGCTGGCAGCAGAAGAGTCGAATAGCACCTCACTAAAACACAAAAGAGCCAACGGCGTCAAAACCAAAGACAACAATGGATTGTAAGTACTGAACATAGGACTAAACTCAAAGCATTCGCTAACAAGCGTTTCGATTAGATATACATACCCTGTTGGCATGGGAGAGGATCTCAATCAGAATCCTGTCCAGACACTCCAAATTCTCTTCGATACAGGTTCTGGAGACTTTTGGGTTTGGTCATGGCTCATGCCAGAGACTATAACTCAAGGACGCAGAATATACAACGCCTCTAACTCTCATGCCTCCGCTAGGTGGCCAGGCCAATCCTTCAACATTCCTTATGCATCAGGGAGTGCATACGGGTTGGTTTATCAAGATACTGTCTGGGCAGATGGGCTTGAATTTGGTCTTACAGGAACTCCAGTTGAATGTGCTCAAGACGTTGGTGGGGATCGTTTAAAACAACTGACGAATGTTGATGGGATTATGGGTTTAAATACGTGGACCACAGACTCGGAATCACCACAACCACAGCAGACGTGGCTCAGCTTCTCTGTCGATAACCTTCTCGCAGGTGAGTGATAGGTATATATATCCGAAAGAAAACAAAAGCTAACTTGTTTTTCAGAGTCTGTATTTACCATCGCTCTCGTCCGAAACGGAATCGGAACGATCGACTTTGGCGTAATCGACAAAAGCAAGTACACCGGCAACATCATCTGGACACCAGTCGTACCAACCCCCGGCTGGGCAGCATCAGGCTACTGGCTCTTCGAATGGAGCGGCTGGGCCATAGGAAGAGGGGCATACAACCGAACCACCAACCTAGTCCTCACAGACTCCGGTACCAACCTCACCCTCTTGCCACTCTCCATGGCAAAGAAGTACTACGCGCAAGTCGCCGGGGCGTACCAACTCTCCACTGGATTCTGGACATTCCCTTGTGCTTCGACCTTGCCCTCTTTTACTTTTGGGATTGGAGCGGCTCGGGTCACTATTCAGCCCAAGAATATGGTCTTTTTGGAGCTTGATGATAATGTCATGTGCTTAGGGGCCATTCAGAATACAGAGGAGGATGGGTTTGTGTTGTTGGGAACCCCTTGGCTAGAAGGCTTGTTCCTTGTTCATGATTATGGGCGAAAGCGTCTTGGATTTGCTGCGAGAACCAATTGAAATGAACAAGGGGGCATTTTGGGGTTGTGGGGTTTTGGCTTGTGACGAGTATGTAGGCTAGGTGTCAAGATCAGAGAACGAATCAAATCATTCTGTAAACAGTTTTTCATGCTCAGTTTCTGTAACCCGCCATATCGTAACCTTATTAAAAGTAGATGGAGAAGTATAGCTAAGCAGATGGAATAACGAGCATAGCAGAGTAAAGAAAGATAGATAACCGTTAGGAAACTGAAACCATAATAGAAAAGCCATCATCAAAATACAAACTGAATTCAACAACGCACAAAATCTGACAGGGAACAAGAAATAACACTCCATTTACACGATGAGAAGAAATTGGAGTCTGAACGCCACTAGGCCAAGGTGTTAAAATGAATTCAATTCTAGTCTGATTGTAATATACATGTATCCTAAGAATATCAGAGCTAAATTCCTGACTTGAGTGGTTTCAAAACCATCTCCTGCCTCAATCTTCAGTGACATCCATATCCATAATCCCTCCCGCGATCAAATCATCAATCGTTGCCAGCATCGCCTCTTTCCAAGCTTGATATTGCTCCCTGTTCTCTGGGCTCAAGTAATCATATTCATCTTGCATCGTCGTCCCGATTTTCCTCTTTCCTAATCCAGCAGAGGTATCACTTTCAGTTTGCATTTGAAGGTCAACTTCATTCTCGTTGCCGTCCTCAATATTGGTAAACCAATCCATCTCCAACCATTTCCTTGTCGTGATCGACATAATCCATGCTTGAATACTTTTAGCGTCACTGGCCTCCCAACCGTTCCACAGCTCATCTCCCTCGCCGCCAACTTTGACGATGACTTCCTCGTCATCCCTTATTGTCTCATATAGCCCGAGAATGTTATTCCTTCGCTCTTTGAATTCCTTCTTAGTTGTATCCTGATCGTTCAAGTGCTGTACAACAATAATCCATACCGCTGCCACCAACGCTGGGATCTTTTCTCCTGGCTGGGGTCTTGCGGCATCCTCCTCTGAGAGATTCGATGAAGGGAGGCATAGAATAGTTTCTACACCAGCAAGAACATGAGGTATTGCTTTCCTCGAACCAAGCTCTGAACACATCTTCCTTACCACAGGCGCAAGCCATTTCGGTATTCTCGCGTCTCTATCTGCATTGCTTGCGTACCTCAATCCTGACTTTGGCGCTCTATGGTTTCTGAAAGGATCTAACGAGGTCGCTTTTGAGGGCGTTTGCTTTTGTGGAAGTTTCCGAGGGGTTGAAGCTGGCGATGATCTATTTAGGGATTTGCTGGGTGTACTTGAACCTGATGACTTTCGGTCGACGGGATTTTCTGCTCTCGGTTTCCTTCTGGAAGCTGTGAGAGCTCGGTCAAAGTAGCCATATAGTTTTGCGTAGGCACGAGGGGGAATAGGAGGGCGAGGTTCGATTGGGGGCAGGTCAAGAGTCGTTTTCAGCCTACTTTGTTAGCCATTGAGAATACGTGGGTACGCGCAAGCCTTTTCGCCTATCTTACCTCTCACAGGCAATGTTAGCGCAAGCATAGGTTCGTCCAATCTCCTCCTCAGCTTTTAGCGTGCTAGCGATACTGCGAGACTGGGCGAGGAGAGAGCGCGCTAGCTCGATAAGCTCCGGTGGCAGGGCACCGGGATGGCGGGGTATTAGATTGTTTAAGGCTTGTTCGATAGGTCGACTCATTCTGATCACGGGTATGAGAGGTATGAGGTATCGTAGAATTCGGCGGTGTGGATGTCAATGGTATCGTTAAGCAGATGGTTGACCTTGAGATGGAAGGCTGAGGTTGAGGGAAATGACGCTTTAGGGTAGGCTGGAAGCTCGGGTGCCGCTTCCAGCCTTCCAGGGACCCTGTCTCGGGCCTCTACCCCAGCCCAGCCCCTGAAACGGAGTGTCCATGAGCGGAACCGTTCAGGGAGCTGCGCTGCTGCAGGTGCCCATCCATCGGGACATGGACGCCACGGCTACGGTGCCATGCCGCCCAAGCTCCAGCGAAATAAACAGCAGCATGCGCCTGTTCGGAGCATGTACCAGCTGTACGAGTACCAGTACCAGTACCAGTACCAGTACCAGTACCAGTACTCCATACCTGACCCTTAGGTCACTGTCAGCCTCGACAGCTGTCAACATCGTCATCTCAGATCTCTCCCAGACGCGCTCTACAACTCTCAATCACTCTTAGTAATTACGCTAGACCAAGTCAAACAGCTACTCGAGTACACATCAGCTTCGATCAATTCCTCTATCGCATCCTTCTTCACAAAATCAACATGGCCGGCCGAAGGGTATTAGCTTTATGTGCAACGTCATTGGCACTTGTCACAGCGCATGGGGGAGGCAATAGCCATCAAAAGCCAATTCAGGTCGCTGAAGATGCGGATTGGGCGACGCGACACATGGCCGGTACGTTCTCAATCTGTTCTCTATGACCTCTCTACGGGTTGGGCAGTCATTAACAATGGAGCAATAGAGGAACATCACATCGGCAACTTCGATCCAGGCGCATTCTTTACCCTCCACGACTTTGACAGCAACGGCTTCTGGGATCAGTCGGAAATTCTGAAGTTCTATGGCATGGAGGACCCTAGCGCAAAGGATACACCGCAGTCGAAAAAGGACGAGATCGTGGACACGGTGATGAGGCTGATTGATACGAACCATAATAAAATCATTGAGAAGGAGGAGTGGATGAACTTCTGTGAAGGCTGGGTTGGGAAGTCCAAAGGACCACCAGGAAAACTGCCCGACTTTAGAACGGGTCCAGGACATCACTGGGATATGGAGATGGAGTATGAGATTCATCATTGGGAGAAGTAGGTTGTGCAAATGAAGAAACAAGATACGATATTGACGAGGAACAGGTATCACGACGAGAACACGAAAGAAGAGGATTTGATCCATCCGGAAGACATTGAGCATTTCAAGCAGCATGACGACCTCGAAGACGAGGCCGAGAAGCAAGCAGCAGAGGACAGGCTCGCAATCGTAGAACACAATATACCAGCAAAATTCCGGAGGGAATAACTTTTTTGCTGGTTTGGATAGAGGAGAATAGAGTATGACCGACGGCTTCGACGCCCATGACGAAATGTATCATTACTGCCTTGTAATTAATATGTCAAAGACGCAATGCCACACGCCAGGGGCAAAAGTCTTGACTAATTCAACATGTTCAGCTTGTACTTCGGCCGTTTTTGCTGAGTGGCTCAAGTACTCTTGGAGGATGCCCTCGATAGTCTCTCGTCTCGCTTGAACTTCGTTCACTCCTACATTCTCATGCAGGTGGAGCCAGCCATCGTTCGACACAAGCCTCAAGGCCGTTTCCCAGCTTTGGTCGCTGGTGGGAAGAAGTCCACAATTGATATGTGTAACCTTCCCCAACCAAGTATGTTTGAGCTTGTCCAACCTCCCCAAAGCCATAGCGTTGTCCTCGACAAATACGGTGACACTTTCGTCGCCAGGCAGCCATTCCTCGCCGCTTCGTACGACTCTAACGCTCCATCCGTTGGCCACAGCCCCTCTCCTTAACCCCTCGACGCTCCAAGGGTTCATCTCAAAGCCCACAACATTTCCCATGCCCATCTTAACATAACTGAACACGAAGTAGCCAATTCCAGCATACAGGTCCACAGCAGCCTCCCCTTGCAGCTCCTTCTTGCCTCTCTTTCTGTCTTCTGGGCATTTGACATGGAAATCCAGAATCCGGGCTTTTTCTTTGATATTGCCTCGGCTAAACATCGTGTATCGAGGGGCCCAAGTTTGTGTAATCCCATTCTGCCTTGTACTGACCCAGAATGCGGAGGCAAAATCTTGGCTTGCGGGAAGTGCGGTAGGTGATAAAGAAGGACCAAAGTCACCATGGAGGATTTTGAGACCAGTCGGCGTACGAAGGATGTTATGTTCTGCGGCATGTTCCTGGTTTGATATAGATACTTCTTCCTCTCCCTGGCGAGTATCGGGGCCGATTTTGCCGGTCCCATTAACAAGGCTTTCGTTGAGAAGAGGAATGCCCGAGTTAATGGCCAAGTGTGTCAATACGCCCTTCCCCTCCCTCTTCCCAACATCTTGCAAAATCCTCATCCACAAATTTTCTTCTGCATTTCGGATGTCCAGCGATAGACATTCCCTCCACTCATTTCCCTCGAAGCTACCCGAGGGCAGAAGAAGCATCGGGGGGTACACTACCCATCTCTTCGGTGCGGTTGACAGTAGTGCTGACTGCTGTATTGCTTCCAAGAGATCATACGGGACAGTGCTGAACCATGATTTAATGGCTTCCTCTATAGGATTGGTTGGTTTGGGCTTGCTCTTTTTCAGTCGGTCGTTTGAGAGGTTTGATTGCCGATGGGTTTCCGTCACGGGAAAGGCCATTTCTACAATACGTAGTTGGAAGTATCTCAGTAGGCCTCTGAGATATTTGGTGTAAGTCCGGAGTAGGTAAACTTGGAAGTAGGTGGATCACGAGATCTATGGAAGACGGCAACGCTCATCGTCACGTGTTACTCCAAGCGAACCTTGCAAGTACAAGATTCCAGTTCATACGCAGGTATTTCCGTCCTGAGTGAGCCTCATGGACGTCTTCAGTCTCTGTTCCAAAGTTTACTGTTCGTCATCCATCACACATCCTCGCTTGTCTTTTCCTTCTTCTTTGTCGCTTAAACTAAAGAAGCTCTCCTTTCCTTCTCCAATCGACCCTCGGGACAATATCAAAACTCGGTTCTGAGAAGACCATATTCCCCAACCCCTCTTCATCAGACTTCTCTGTCAACACATGCAAATTTGTAACAAGCTCCCCCAGCGTATCGCTTACATGGTCGACGCACGACGCGTTCAATTGCCAAACTAGGACGAGATCTATCAAAATCCTTGACTGTGCCTTGCAGGGTTCAATGTCACTGTGCCATCGAATTTCACAACACGATTGCCATAGTTTGTTGATCGCCAAGCCAGGCTGCCGATGGCTACTTATTGGTGTTACCTGTAATTCGTAAGGATTGGATAGGATATTACCTGTGCATTATCGGGATTTGCATGTTATTCATCCCTCCGCATGCCAAATGCTCCTCCCCGCAGGATATGGCGAATTAGCATCGGCAACCAAAACCCTTGTTATTGTTGCTATGCGTCTCTCTCGGTCCCGTTCTCTCCGGCGCCCCGCTCCATTTCAATACGTTTCTATGCTATCTCTGCCGAGCCTTCAGATATCTTCTTTATTCAATCCTTTCTGCCAATGATTTCTTTTGACTTGTTCAACTGTCTTCTGAATCGTTTGATTGAGCTGTCACTTCCTGCTATAAGAGTCTCACAATCACACAACTTTAGCGAAGAAATCCCCAGGGATGTCTGATCCGAGCATCCGAGAAGAGGTAGTTTTACTTTTCTTTACTTCCTGTACTCACCATAAGCTAAAGATCGCACAGCAGCAATATCGACACTCAGAACTCGGTCACTCGTCCTTCTTCTATGACCAATTCAACAATGCCTATCCCGTTGGAGCCGAATGGGAGCTCCCAAACTTAGATACGGCCACGTGGTCGAGCTCGGCACAAACACTATCGCCAGATTCAGTATCTTCTCAGGACCACTGTAGCCCAACAATATTCGACTCGGGGAACCCATTTGAAGTAAACTACCAAGAGCCCCATCTGGGCCCGTCGCCTACTGTTTTATTCGTCAAAAACGAAATGTATGGTGATTCGCCACTCGTCTACCCCGTAGCCGAATCTGGTAGATTATCTGGGTCGACAGAAAATGACGATTGGAAGAGTTTACAGTCTACCTCGTATATGGAACAGCAGATGCCCACGAGAAAGGCTGAGGAAGTTTTATCGAATATGCCCGTGTCAAATCCACCGCAAATTTCACAATCGAACCACCAAGCTAAACCAGAAACCAGACCAACTCGAACGACTAGATCATCCAAAAAGGGAAACGCTGCCAGTCCGGCACCCAAGCGCAACAAAACCACACATCAACCCACGAGGTCGACTAAGCCTCATCCTTCTCCTCCTGCCTTGATTGATACAAGAAGGGATTCGTCCAGTTATGCCGATTCTATCGGTCGAATGAACCACAATCTGATAGAGAGGAAATATCGGAATCGATTGAATCAACAATTCGACACCCTTCTTTCTGTTCTGCCAGTTGGCGCTACTTTGAAAACTGGCGAAGAAGAGTCCTCGGCGAAAAGAATCAGCAAGGCCGAAGTTCTGATTCTAGCAAAGGAACGAATCGAAAGTCTAGAAAAGGAGAAGGCCGAGCTCAATGACGAGAGGTGTAAGCTGAAAAGGAGCCTAGATGAGTTGAAGATGGATTGTGATGGAAGCGATTAGTTGGTCTCAAGGTGGTCATTTCGCTGGAGCATTTTGGTTGGATACCCCTAGGAATAAGAATGGCTCGGGCCAGAAAATGGGTTATGGTTCACGGGATATGGGATTTGGGATATGGGATTTGGGATTTTGATTGGGGGTTTGGGATAAAAAGTTGAGCTTTATAGTCAACTGAGATGTGCTCTCTGCTGATGATGGATGACTCGATGATTTCTTGATAGTGTACGATGATTTCTGATAGTGTACTTTCTGTTACCACGGTTGCATGCCGTCTTGCTTGAATAGTTTTTGCAAAATATCTTTCATTCTTTTGGGGTTACCTCATCCTGTGCCAGATCAGTCCATTTTCACGTCGTGAACCTTACTCCTCTTTTCCATCGTGTCCAACATCAATTCCGAGTTTGAGAAGTATCGTTACGCGTCATCTGACAGACCAAGTCAATAGATCTCCGCGTGTCCATCCCCGCTTCATCTAACGCTTAAGCGAACCCCCTTGCAAGGAGAAACGAGAGTAACCCAACAAATAACTCTAAACTAAGATTCGCAAATCACTTCAGCCCGGAGAAATCCTTTGCATCGCCTGCAAGGCAGTACCCGCTAGTGCTTACCATTAACAACATATGTAAGGCTTACAATACGAATCTTCAAATGTCTGGCTCGTCCGAAGAGCTACAGAAGATTTTGTAATCACATCCCGCATTCCATCTTCCACCCGCTAATTCTAACCCCTCTTCCGAAGCAATGAATTGTATCCTGATATATAGAGAATGAAGGGAGTACTCGTTTACAAGATAGATATCGTGTGCCAAATACCCCCCGTGTACCACCCATGCCACCGGATAAATTCCTGAATCCCATCCCATGATCGATCGGAACAGGATCGCGATATGCAACAAAATCAAGAAATCGCCCCTTTTCTGATATGCGTACATGAATGGGCATCAACACCATCCTATACGGCACTTCTGAGCGTCCTACGGTTCATGACTGAAAGCTAGGGTTGCAATGGGATAGGTTGTGACCTATCATCGGCGTGCGAAGTGCAACAAAACAACGGCTTATTCAACCCTTCGCCGGGAAGTCTTGGAGATTGAATGGCCAAGTGAGAATGTGTGTGAGTAGTGTTGGAGTTTAGGGGGTGGCTGGATGGCCGATGGGAGATCTGATATCTCACCTGTCACTGAATTCGGCGATGTGCAACAAAAACCTTCATCTCTTTTCTTCTTTCATTCTCCACGTAACTCATATACGAGCTACAACCTTCATGTTTCGATCTTCCCCAACACCTTGGGGGGTCACTTTAATACCTTGTCCTATCATCTTCCATTTCATCGAGATTCTCTCGATCCCATAAAGATATGTAAGATGAGTGAGCTTCATCCCGGCAGTTCATTAATCATCAAAGGAGTAAGAAGCTGAAACCGATGACGAAGGAGAAAAATGATCACTCATAAAGTTGCGAAGAGCAACAAATGCATTTTTGTTCCTCCTGGGAAGCTTTAAGACGAATCATTTGGGGTCTTAGTCACTTCGATGCGGCGAGGATGTTTCGTGTGGGAGATGCTTAGGACTTGAACTTGAACACATGACAGAAATTGGATTTTGTTTCTTCGATTTTTGTGATTGGCGAGGAGTAAAAGTAAATGGTTCGTTATTATTATTGTGTATGTATAATGAAGTAAATCACCAAATTGAACAAAAGAGGGGATAAATAACCTCAAAATTCCAACCAAGATTTTTCAAACTGAATTGATAGCAACCCCTCAAAATGACGTTGGACGTGAAACATAGACAAAATTACATCCCTTCCACCCCTCCCCTCCCTCAATACAGTAATACTCGAGTACGGTACGGGTACAACCCTAATCGACAACCCTCTTCGTCCAATCCCTAGACGTAGTGTACGTCATGGAAAATCCCCAGATTCCCATCCAGCTCACTATCGGAAAATACCCTTTCCCATACTTCGTTAATTTTCAGCGTATAACCCCAATTACCATCTCTACTGCCAAACAACCTCCTAAGTAAACAATAAACAATAAACCCCCTACCAAAAACCCTTCTCATACCCTTTTCCCCCCTTCGCCCCTCAAAGGCTCAAAAAATCAAATCTATAAAAGCACAAAAAACCCCCATTTCCCACACCAACTCATTCTCACAACGTAATAAACAACAAACCACATCTCCCCAACCCAACCAACCCTTCTCCAGCTCAATCTTGCTCAAAAGAAACATCCCTCATTATACTCGTATAATCCACCAAAAAGCGCAAGCTAATACAACGGAGCAAACCCTCCCCCCTTCCAAGACAACATACACATCCACAGAAAACCTACTTGGTCCATCCATCCAATCACACGCCGCATACCAAGAGATTAAAGATGTACGACGGAGCAAATCCTCCCCCTCGAAAAATTGCGATGGGCAACAAAACTTATTATAGTGATTCTGCTTTCGGGGGATCAAAGGTAAGGGTGAACCCTTCTAGACCGGAGGAGAACGGAGGGAATGGGACGGTTGAGTTGTAGTGTGATATGTCGAGTGTAACTCCCGTTTTGACGATGCGAGGTAGGTATGATGCTAAGAGACATAACTTTACCTCCGATGATATCTTTTGTAGAGGAAAGGTGGGAGGGATATAGTTGCTTCGTAAGAAGATTGATAGCCTTGTTTTAGATATGTACAAATAGAGAGTTTATAAATTGACTTGTCACCCCTTGACCATCCAACTTTCAAAAATGAGTATTCTTCTGTATTTCTAACTTTACCAATCTATCCTTGGTATTATCCTCGAAAGAGGCGAATTATCAACCCTCTGTACAATATTATCGATCATATATATTCACAAAGAGGTAAGAGTAATAATTACATTAGTTACAAGCAGCGTTCGGCACTTAGAATACGATTCCAAGGATTCCAAGATTCCATTCCAAGGTGGAATGTTCTAAAGGCTCTCTAATTTAGAATAGAATATTGTAAAGGATAAGGCCTTGGAATTTAGAATTCTAAAGGACATATATATATATATATATTACTATTCAACTAATAAGAGAGCTCTATTTATTATAAAGTAAGGACTAAAATTGTGATTTTACCTACGCTTAATTAATTATCGCCGTCTCCTATATATAACTAAGGTAAATCCGAGTGGTTTTATAGTATTTATACTACTTATACGCCGAGTCCAGGAGGCGTAAATGCGTATATTTGAGGCTCTTTTGCGCAGGGTGAATATAAGTGGGTTTAGAGTACGCATACTAACGTGTGCCGCTAGTATAGGAGACGCAAATGCGAGTGTTTAAGGCTCTTTTGCGCTATTATTGTTGTAGTATTAATAGTATAGATGCGATTCTCAAATATCAATATGGTGCTAAGGCTAGGTAGGCTTCCTATTAGTCGCTCGGACCGGAACTACCTTTTTACGGATAACGTGAGGAATTCCAACTGGAATTCCAAATATTCCACCCTTTGGAATGGAATATTCCAACACTTATACTATTTAGAACGGAATATTCCATAGGAGGGCCTTGGAATGGAAAGGAATTCCAAATGCCGAACGCTGGTTACAAGCTTCCATCTCACTTATATTAACACAGCTATATCAACTTCCCAACTATAATATCTATTACTCTTTTCGGCTAAATATCATAGCGACAATGCTATATATATCCTATTCATTAAATAATCCTACACAGTATAACCATCCACAGGCTTTTACCCCCTTGGAGTAATAATAGAATGTGCAATTAGTAATAAAACACCTTCTCCTTCCTATTAACAGTCTAAAATAAAGAACCTACAACTTTAAACTCATACCTTTGTATGACAAAAACTCCCCTCTTTGACGAGAGAGGAAAGAGTTTGATGATGTAAATAGAGAACTAACACTTGTATATGGTTACCGAAATGTAATCCTCACTTCTAGTTGGGGGAGTGTAAAGGCGTCTATGTTATCGTCTAGGTAGTCAAGGAACAGGGACAGAAAAAGATTAGATAGTAAGTGAGAATGATATAGGAAAGAATAATAGTTGGAATATCGTATATATATATATCATCTTGTGTCTTCAGGATGACGCTATGAAGTTAGATTTGAGAGGGTATGAAGATGAAGAGTGTGAAGAGTGTGGGAGTTAGTGACGAACAGGTCTTTTGCACTGAGAGAGGGTTGGGTATATGCTCCGATGATTATATTTTCCACTTTTCTTTCTTTCGTGGTTCGCGAAGATAACTTTTACATATTATACGAACGAGGAGTTTAATTAAGGTCCTAGTAATCAAAAGATATTATCATAGTATAATACATCATAATACCAGAATTCTTATCTCTATATCATATCTATTTATAAGAGGGGGACGGTTACTTCCACTTAGCGAGAAAAGTCATACACACTCACATTCTATTCTAGTATTAAGATAAAGTTGTTAACATGTAGAATTATCCAAGTCCAGTCTACAGTATTTTACTTTCTTCCAAGTTTCTCCTGCTCCAACCGTCTTACTTGTCCTGTGTTCTCTATTGACTCTCTTCCGAGCCTTGTAGGGTGGGGGTTAATAATCATTATTTCTTCCCATCTAATTCTCATCTAATCCTGAGGCTCATCCCGACTTAAGGAATGAATAGATAGATATGACCCTGAAATCGGGTCGTAATATATACTATATCGTACCACATTACATCACATCACGGCCATACTCTAACCCGCGTCGAAAAGAAACACAGTGATCACAAGCCAGACAGACCATATAACTCCCTCTTTCCCCCTGGGACACCTCCTGGAAAACAAGTACCAGATACCAGACACCAAACCAAGCACCACCTACTACCATTCTATAAACCAAAAAAATCAAGAAATCAAGAAACCAAAAATACTAGTACCCTATAGAACTTATATTATCTTATACCGAGGAATAGGTTACCTAGAGGTAAACCTACCTACTTACATATATATCTATCAATCTATCACCAAGTTATATCCTATTATATTCTATTACACCCAGAGACCTCTCCAGGGTTTAGACTTATAATTCTATATCATTCACATTAGCCTTAGTCTTAGTCTTAGTCTTAGTCTTAGCCTTAGTATTATATTATATTATAATAGTAGAATATAATTCTTTCTTCTATTTGATCGATCTAGTATATTTTATACGAAAAGTTTATACGAAAAGAAGTTTAATCTAGTTTATATAAAAGGAGAGGGAATAAAGGGTAGGATCTAGTAAGATAAGTTAAGTTAACTTTAATATATATAACCTTTGACCTAACCTAAACTAACCTAACCCGAGTAATAAGGTAAAATATTAATTAATCTTACTATTTTCTTCGATTTCTATATATATCCTACTATACCTTACTTTACTTTACTATACCTTACTTTACTTTACTATACTTTACTTTACGATAATAACTACTAAGGAATTAAATTATATTAAAACTATCCCGTCCCTATCTACGTACTTTCTATAAGTTATCGCGTATATAACGTTTAAATTATATTATAGTATAAGCATAGTTACTTTATAAGGTTAGGACTTAGGCAGTGCCATACCTAGGGGCTGACCCCTTACACCTCACCTTAATTCATAGACGTTATAAATAAAGAAGTAAGAAACAAAACCACATCCCATACTAAGTAAACCACAATCTAATCTAATCTAATCAGATGCAATCCAATCCAATCAAAAGCGGGTCCCCAAAATCCCAAAATTCCAATGAAAGAAATGATGATTTGCAATAACATCCAAATTCCAATAAGACCATATCTGGATTATTGGGGCGTGTCCGAATTGGAGCTGGAACTAGACCTGGAGTTCTCTGTCTCGTCTTCTCAATTATGCGGTAGAGTAGCTCGGTAGCGAGCACGCATAATGATCCCCCTTCGATACCAGACTCCTTGTACTTCGAGGTAATCGTGATGTTGCGACGAACGGGTACCACGGTGTTGTAACAAAGCCCCTGATGATCGGTACTTTGAAACATTTAGGAAAGAAGGTACCGTACCTAGGGACGAACGAAAGCCCTGTGATGTTTGCAGTAGATCACTGAATTATCACGAGCCCAAGGAAAGGTATGTAAGGCTGGGATGAAGGTTGTAAGAATCTGCTAGTAACGAATTAGTTTCTCATGATATTCAATGATTATTGGCGTTGTTTATCTGAGAAGATTTGTTTGGTCTGCGGACTTCGTTTCCGGGGCAGCTGGGTGTTCAACACGCCCTGAGAGAGGGTTCAAAGTTTAGCGTTGGAGGGATCGCCCTGGTTCGATATCCCGCGTTCATGTTAATACACTACAAAGTATATCTGCGGATCACTTCCACCGCTTCCATCAATTTTAAAAGTGGCTTCTAGTGCGGAATCATCATGACATCGTTAGCTATTTGGAAGCTGCTAGTCATTTGATGTGTCGGATTTGGGAAGGTAGGGAAGGAAGGAATGCAGGAATTGACGAGTCGCAACGGTTTGACAAGCTTCATGCTGGCACTGGAAAGGGGTTGGAGTAACACGAATCAATCACGATTTTAGGGTGGGGATGGGACAAGGAGGTTCCATGGAATTAGTGATTTGGATCTTGAGCCGTTTGCTTTTATGAAGACGCGTGATCTTTGGGACGAGAGTTTCCTGGAAATTTTGCAAATTTTTTGGAAATTTTCAGCAGCAAGCCTTTACGACGGAATGAGTTGAGGAAGAATTGGTTGGTTCTTGGTTTGCCGATTATTCCTGATTTCCATACGGATGTGGACGCAGGCGTATTGAACGAAAGCTAAAGGAGCACCTGGAGATTCTCATTGGGTACCTTGACAACTTTTTCATCTGAGCTTTCCAGCGGATGACGGATGTCTTTCGCGTTCAAGGATATCTTCGGTGCACCGAGAAACAGACTCAGACGGGAAGCACTTGCACTTGCACTTGCCTTCCACTTCTTAGTTCTTGGGATTTTGACCACCATCTGGCCCATTCTAGCGCTTCACCCACTTGCCGAAGGGAAGCGTGGATACCTATTGTCTGGACAGGCTAGTCCAAGGCAGTTCGTCACTGTTCGTGCATGGAGCGTTGAAATCTCGACCAGTAAAATCAACATGGGCACTTTTTGGAGGGGCAGCATTTTTCTTTTTTGGCAGGCCCCCAGCCCCGGGTTTGCCCCTGAGCAGATGAGACGACAACGGCGGGATCGGATTCGTGATGATTCCCGAACACTGAAATATGGTACGGGATTGAATGGAAACACGGCAGACGTTCGACATGGCTTCAATCGTGGGCACTGGGTCGATCAAGGCTACAGTGCCGGTAGGGTAGTGTGCTGTACAAATAACGCTGATGACTGAGTACGGAGTACTGGAGAAGGAAACGGCTTGTGAGTTGACTCGATAGGTAGGCGGTTCTGACGATCCGAGGCCATGACCAGATGCCTGAGAACCAGAGCCAGAGCCAGAGCCAGAGCCAGAGCCAGAGCCAGAGCCACTCGGGAGTAAATTATCAGTGTGGGAGACGTGATAAGGCACCAACTCACCAATGCGGAAATAATGAACGATGAATGACCCGAGAGCGACGAGTCAAAGCGCAATTTGGCGATGGCATGGCGATAGCGATGGTGATGGACACAGCCTGATGGCCAACGGCAGCAGGAGGGAGACACGGAAGATACACTTCACATGCAGATTGCAGAGTGCAGACTGCAGTAGTGTCATTATTGTAGAGGTTGATGGCGGAATCGGAAGTGGACAGTAGATGCAGCTGCAGCTGTAACTGCATATGTGGTGAAGGGGGGCAAAGTGCCTGGCCTGGCCTGGGTACCTACCAAGAAGTAGTAGGGTAGCTAGGTAGCAAGTATCCGATGTGCCAATTCAGCTTATTCGTACAGTAAGTACCTTAAGTGGTACTACCTAGGTACCTAGGTACCTAGGTACCTAGGTAGGGTTTGGCGGAGAAATAATGTGGGCCATAATGTGCTGACCGGGGTGAGGGCAGGCGACGAGTCGGAGCAAAGTACTTTTTCACAAGGGCGGCGGGCCCCAAAGAGCTTAGGAGGCCTGCAGCGTGCATCAACTCTGCATTAGTGCCTCCAGACCATGACACCAACTCGCTGGAAGTGGCCTATCTCATTCTATTAACCTGGTTGATGTGCCCATTCAGGGCCATTCAGGCACAGAAATGGCGATCAGAGAGGCACGCCATAGGGGGNCGCGGGGGGGGGGGTGTTGGTGTACTTCTACAAGTAAGTGGTTTGGAGTGACCACCCCCTGGTGTGTAGAAGTACAACCTACCGAGCACAGTAGTAAGCAGAGGTTCGTTGTTCTGCTTAAACGAAAGGCTATTGATCAGGTGGCAGCACGTCCAAAAAAACAAACTTTGGAACCAGAAGGGGAGGAGAGTACGGACGGTAAGCGTAGAGGATAGACAATCGTACCTTTTGACACCTTCATTTAAGGTGATTGTGCCCCCAAGACGCCCATCACCTGACAATCAACCACACTTCTAGAAAACACCATATCATGTCAAGTTTAGCCTATCAGGCAGTCCGTAGCGTAGTGTAGTGGTAGCAGTAGTGGCGGGTACGGAGTAGTGTTCCCAAAGACATCACATCCAGTCAATGGTCCATCCCCTCGGCTCGCAGCCTCGCTCACTGACTTGCAAGCTCTCTGCTCTCTGCTCTCTGCTCTCTAGCTCCCCCCGTCGGCTGTCATCATCCCCTGTCCCTGTTGACTGGGTCCGCTGTCCACGGGCCTCCCTCATCCCCGTCCCTGGGCAGTTCCAGCAAATGGCCGTAATGAGGAAACCCACTTCTGTCTGATCCTCACCCGCCATTCAAAACATAACGAGCCCCAACTGCAATTCTTGGTGTGCCTTTGCCTGCTCTCCTTGCCCTCTTTGCCCTCTCTCTCTTCTGTTGTTTCCGCGTCTGCACCTCCAGTGATCGTGCCAGTGACATTTGCACACAGCATGAAAGATTGAGCCACCACGTCCATTCTCATCTGCTCTCCTCTGTCTGCTGGTGAATTGCCTCGACCCGCAAATTACTAGTCGGTTATGACTGCCGCCACTTGATAACAATACCGACAATCTACTTGACCCCGGCCGACACCTAATTTCGTCAACGACCACTGCTTCAGGCTCATCTCCTCTGCTCTTTCCTCGAGTCACCTCTACTCACCTCTACTAGAGCTTTACACTCCTTTGCTTCTGCCGCCGCGCGCCCCAGAAGATCTGCTCAGTTCAGTTTCAATTGGTTTTTTGGAGGTGGCCAACCAGTCTACTAGTATTAGGAAAACGACAAAGAGAGGGGAATTGGATTGAAAGACCTCAACTTCAACCTCACGCAAACTACCACACTCAACCCAATCCGACTCAAATAACTTGGTCATTCAAACAACCGCGACCATGGGGCCCTCTCTCAACGCCCACTCCTTCAGACCTCGCACATCAGATCGCGAAGGTCGCCCAATGACCAGAGACAATGATCAGAACTTGATCATCCCCAGTCGGACCTCTTCTCTTCATTCCCGCATCACCCAACCGATTCCATCCACCTTGACCTCTAAGCCGCAACAACGAACTCCAAAGACCCTCACACATGCCTATATGGTATGCGGTGTTGGTCGGGAACCTTCACAATGGGTCAAGGCTCCTCCACCCTCCCAGGGAAAGATCGGCCACATGAAGGGTGCTGTCGGACAATTCTGGTTGCCAGAGATTCTAGGAAGTAGTCCCAGATTGGAGCAGGATAACGAAATTGCCAGAGCCCTACACGCAGCAATGAGAGTAAGTTGCCCATGGAGTCTTTGGCTCTTCTCCTACTAATATTGCACTAGGCTTGCTTTCCCCACGATGTAGAGATCTGTACCGGACGTAGTCAACCACATTGCGTACACCATTCCTTCGTTCTCCAGCAAGATTCATCCCACACTCTCTATGGTATCGCCCTTCGAGTTTGGTCCAGAGCAGACGACAAGCGTGCCGAGACGATTCGCGATTTGCGACGACGAACCGAGTCCGACTTTTACGATTCGCCCGATGAGACGTACTGGATTCCGTACTGTTTGTCGTTCCTCTCTAGATACCCCCTTTACAATCTTTTGGGTGATTATCTTCGAGGAATGTGGATCCACTGGAACAAGGCCACCAACCTTTTCCACGCCGAGGAGGTCTCCCGCATCCTGAGTTTCCCAGCACCAAGACTCAATGATTTGGTCCGAATTGATATGAAAGACTACGCCCTCTGCTATCAATTCCCCTCTTCCCCAACAGGATTCCAAAACTTTGCCATGTGGCCATTGTTTTCCTGCTTGTCAATTCCAAACATCGTTGGTGTTATAGAGGCTGCTCTATCCCCCACCCGGCGTATTATTTTTGTCAGTCACTACCCCGCCATGCTTACCGTGGCTGCCGAGACCATTCGATTTTGCGTGCGTGTATATGAGTGGAGTGGCCTTTACGTGCCTGTGGTTCATGCCAGACACGCAAAAGAGCTAGTCGATGAGCCTGGTCCATACATCTTGGGTATTACCGCAGAGTGTCGCAGTCTTTTCAATGCACCTACGGATGCTTTGGTTGTAGATTTGGATCGTAATTTTGTTTTGACTTCTAGCCCACCGACCGCCTTGACTGCAGGACAACGAACCAAAATGATTACTCGAATTACTCAAGCGCTCGCTGGAGACGTGACACCGTCAGGAGTCCCACAACATCTCCGATCGGCATACGGAGGCGGCAAATTGGTTCCAGCTGGTCAAATTATTGTGATGCGTGGAGAAGTTGAGTCCATCCAAGACCCAGAATGGTGGGCACAGGATCCCGTAATGGCTGTGATGGACCACGTTTGCGAAAAGATGGTAAGTCTAATGTTCTAATATCGTCAGGGGGGTTGTTGTAAGTTGCAGATCACTAACGGCTGTTCCACAGGGTCGAAACACGGGTATGAAGGCTGTCTTTGGGGGATCGCAAAAGAAGCCATTGATGACCAAGGTCTCTATGCGACATCTCAACGAAATCGTTCGTGAGCGCAACCAGTACTCCAGAGATGCTCTTGAAGCTTGGCAAGATTTCATTAACCTCAAGGGTCGCATGGATACCGAGCTCGGAAAGGTGTCCAAGCGAAACAACTATTTGAGTGAAGAGATTGAGAGCTGGAAACAACAGGTAAGTTCAAGAATCGTCACGCGTTTGATCTCGGTTCTCATAATTTCTCCCAGTTCCTCAAGTTCCAATCCTTTGCCGAGCAACTTACCAAGGAAACTCAAGATCTCAAGGTCAAGATTGAGAACCACAAGCGTGAAAACAAACGTCTTACAGGTCTCATTGATCAGCAGAGGGATGATGCTCAACGTCTCACAACCCGTTTGTCGGGCACCGAGAAGCAACGTGATGATGCTTTGGAAGCCCTTGTCCTTCAACAGGAGATTGCCGAGGAGCTCGAGCGTGAGCGCAAGAGAAACAAGAAGGAGCTTGCCGGTCTCCAGCAAACTAACCTCACCATTCTTCGCCAACGTGATGAAGCACAACGTGTTGTTCTTCACCTCCGTAGCTTGATTGGTGGTCAAGCTCATCACATGGAACACCTCGTGTCAACTCTTGGAAAGGGTCCAGATTTGGCCGAGTACATTGAGGCTGATGCAGACGAAGACGCAGAGGAACCAAACGACGTTGCTGAGGAGGGCAAGGGAAAGAACGACAACCTTACTGTAACACCAAGATACAAGGGCCGTGACGATACGAACCCTGATATGGAAACCCGACTCAGAAACGGCCTTCGAAACAGTAAGCGATACAGCCAAATGAGCATCGTGGATGTGGCCGATCGCCATCTCCGGGATAAGACTGATGCCATCGCCCACATCATCCGTAATATCAGCGACCAATGCACGGCTGCGGTTGAAGGTCTTCAGCTTGCTCACGATGCAGAGATGGAGGAGGAGCTTGCCAATAGACGTCATCGACGAGCAAAACACCGACATAGCAATACGTCAAACGCCTCGGTTAGTGACGATGGTGGTCAGTCAGAAAACGGCGAGGACAGCCTTCTTCATCCAAGTGGCCGTGCATCAACTATTCCACCTACTCCAGATCTCATCCATAATCGATCAAGCACTGCCATGTCAATCTCCAGCATAAACACCACTCCGGAGCGAAACAGCCAACAGTACAGCATTGGAAACGATATCCCAACCAAGATTGTTGAGGACAGTGACGAGGAGAACCTTGGAAGAAGAAGTGAGAATGAGAGCGAGCTTACCACCAAGGCGACTCTACTTCACAGACCAGCCGGTGCTCGTATCTCTGCTTTGGGAGGTCGTTAAGTCGATTTGAGAAGTTATTTTTTTATGTTTGCGGGGGAGTCCTTTGAATTTTTTTCCTTCTCCAATTTCCCGGATGGCGTTTTACATGGCTGGGCCCGGCGATCATCCTGCGACTTTATTTGTGGTTGTCATTCTGCGTTTGTTTTTACTGTCCTACCGGACATGCTCTCGAATCTCATTACTTCTGTATGTAGCAAGTTTATCCACGCCCTTATTATAGGGTGATTGATGATGGTGGTGGGGGGTGGAAGTTGGAAATGTACGAGGTGTATTTACAATATGGGGGGATGGCGTGGGTCGGGGGGTGTGGAAAGGGGAAGTCCGTAGTGAGATTCTTTCTTGAGGGAGAGCTTTCTTGTGTGTTAGTAGGAAAAGAAACGAGTTGAAAAGAAAATTTGAGTTGTTCTTTATTTCTTCTTTCTCTTGCCGTTGTCTCCTATGTGTCTAGCTGAGCGAAGAATCTTCATATTCTTCACCCCCTTGAAGGACATGGTCTAGATCCTACCTAAGCATCTGCTACTCGGTTTCGCTTTTGGTACTTTCCCAACTGCACTCTCCGACCACCGGTAAATGGGAGTAAGATAAGATATCCTACAGGGTGTCCTAAGGTACTGTACGTGCTTTCTTTCTTTGCGGTGAATCTATACTCCCACCACCCTATCTTCTCTTCTCTTTTCTCTTTTCTCTCCACTTTTACTTATTTTACTTATTTTACGTTTTCTATATAGACCACAAAAAACCTGTCCGTCCCTTATCTTACTAAGCTAGAAATGTTAAGGTACTCCACTCTACTCCACTCTACTCCACTCTACTCCACTCTACTCTACTATACTACTATAATGGAATAGAGGTAGATCTCTTCTAAGGGCTCTAGGTAAGAATACTTGTACTGTACAGTACTTTGAAAACATTCTGGAATCTGGAGTTGAGGGGTGTGGGATGGGATGGCTGAGATGGAGATGGAGATGGAGATGGAGGGGGGTCTGGGATGTATGTGGTATGAGGGCGAGGACGAGGACGAGGACTGGATGTATGGTGGACTTGAGATGTAGGAGGAGAGGGGTAGGAGGGGGGAGGTAGGAGTACCCTTTTAGGGCATATTTTAATGTTTGTACATGCTTTACTCTACCTGGTGGTAGGTCTGAGAGACTGAGGGTGGGATTGGGAATGTAGGGTACTAGAATGAGATTGAGGAGATGTGACGTGAATATATACTATAGAAGCGAGAGATTGATGGTCTTGTATGGTAGGTAGGTATCTGTTGATTCCTTGTTTGGTAAAACGTAAATATATCTAAGAAGAGAGGGGTGTAGAGTACCAGAAGGGTCACTGCTGTTAGGTAACGAGAGGAGGGGAATGCATGGGGTGCGAGATGAGGGGAAGCTGTGTACTTGAGTAGATTTGAGTTATGAAGTAGTAATTGATGTTGTTGTGGTAGGACTTGGGGTATCGAGGTACTGTTCCGCATACGGGAGGTGAATAGAATGGAAGAGGAAGAGTCCTTGATTTGTTGAATTGTCTTGCTAATTGGTTGCTGTTAGGTTGGGGGATTGTGGTTGGGTTTAGTATATCGTATAAACTGTGAAGGGTTTGAGGAAGTCGGTTTTTTGTTCTATTTGTTTTATAATGGAGGACTCTCAAAGACATGAAAACACATGTGATTACCCAGCTCTAGCAAGATACCAGCCAGCAGCCGTCCAATACCCAACCTGCGTATCCAGCCCCTTATAAAATCCTCGTATGAGGGCCTCATAACCCGTCCTCCATCAGGAAATCAATGCTCGGCACATACAGCCATCACCTACAAAACGGTTCAAGCATGATGCCCTCATTCCGCACAAGTTGTTTCATAGATACGGTGCCCAGGTATCAGTAGAATGAAGGAAGGATGAGGAACCAAGAAGCCACAGCAGCTGATATATCTTTTCTTTCCGGAGTTGCACTGCAGATGTGTATACTAGGTAGGTACTGTATGCGGACTGGTGCAACATTGGAAGGGACTGCTCCATTGTGAAGCGGTCTTGCGTGCATACAGTCGTCCAGTTTGAGCGCCAGTATGAGTACTAGTCAGAGTAGACATGCAAATAAACGGCGGTACGATAATAATACTCTTCCAAGTCTCTCGATGAAGAGATGAGGATATAGAAAACAGCAGGAAAGTGGAAGAACAAGGTTTTGGATAGAGATTTGAAAAACTCGAAAATTGCTCTTTCTCTCTTGTACCACTCTAAGGAATTGCTTCGGGATGCTGCAGTACAGTATCTCGGTCAGCAGTACCTAAGTAAAGAGGGGAAACAGCTGCAGCTCCCCCGTTGAATAGTCCCTACAGTACAGTGCTCAACCCAGTCCAGTCCAGCCTAGGCCTTCTGCATGTGCCGCACAGGAACATTGCAGCCTGCGAAAGACATGGCATGCATTCTGCCGGGCTACTTCTGTTCCCTACGAACGCTCTCTTGAGCCCTGAACTAGCGCCTCGAAGCTGTTTTTGGTGCAACTGCATGCTGGAGACGACGGAATCGGAGGGGAAGAGATACCTATATGGCAGGCGCGTTGGGGTTGGTGATGCAGAGGTGTGAACCCCTGCGAGTCGCACTTTCTATTCCTGGAATAGAGGACTGAGAGTTGAAAGGAGTGAGGGCACAAGGTGATAGGATGTATACCTTCGAGTTCCCTCTCTTCTTTGGGGTTCTGATTCATCTCCTTGACGTTTTTAATACTCTCTCCTTTCTCGTTCTGTCTGGATTTGAAGCTCTCTGGTTCCTCGAAGTCTACAGCTTGAGCCATGCACTTGTACAATCCCCTCGTTCTCTCCTTCGCCGGAGTCGCAATTGCGGCAGCATGCAACGAAGACAATTGTCTACGTGCACTCATTGGGACTCGACGAGGTCCTGATTTCCCCAAGACTGCGAGTACCGATTGCGTGAGCTTTCTGCAAGCAACATTTACTCCAGTCCCAGTCGCAGTCAGCACAACCACGACGATCACTCTAGGTCCAACAGCTACACCATTTGCAAAGCGTGCGGCGGGAGATATCCCTGATTACGCCAGTGCTTGTTCGGGATCTTTGCGGTACTCGAGCGCTTGCTCGTGTATAGGAGTTTTGCCTACGACGTTCACTGCTCCAACTCCAGTATGTACTCAATCTGAGATAGGGATCTCGAATAATATTGCTAATAAAAGTTAGACAACCACAGTAACGGTCACGACCACCGCCTCAGCTCCAACCTGCACAAACACCATCACCGACCCCAACAACTGCGGGAAATGCGGCGTAGTTTGTGCACCAGGAGACGGATGCAAGAACGGAGCATGCTCCAACACATCATGCAAAGGTTCTACCTGCGACTCGGGATTTGGCAATTGCAGCAACAACAGCAATTGCTATTGTTTCAGCGACACGGCCGGTACAGGATTCTGCGGCCAGAATTCTCTCTGTGCGGGATTGACAGTTTGCACAACGGATGATGATTGCGGAGTGGGCTCAGGTACAATTTGTGCTGTCAACACATGTTGTGTTGATCCAGGCGACACGCGAGGTGTTTGTCTTTCGCCATTATGTGATAACCCCGCTACGAAGTTGATGCGTATGTCGAGACGGAAGACTGAACGAGGGACTACTGCAGCATGGAAATAATTTCATGGCGGAGTTCTGTAGAGTCGAATTGCAGCAAAGGCAGAAAGCAAGGACCAAAAAGTAATAATTGCTATTTAATGTTTGTTAGCTGTAGCACGAGATTTGCTGAGAGGTGGAGAAAAGAATTGCTCCCTCAAGCCAAGAACATCTAGACAAATCATAAGAAGATCCCTCAACCGCCTGGTTTCCCTAGCTGATGTCCTCCGCTTGTGAAAGTGCTTTTGCTTTTGACGAACAACTCAACCATTGACACTCGTCTGTGCTTTCCATTACGCTCATATCGACGCCTTGTTCGTCAGCCACTGGTATTTAGACGCATGTATCGTACGGTATGGTATCTATATCGATGCACCAACCAAAGAAAAAAGCAAAAAAGAAAGAAGTATGGAAAATATCAACAAGGTTACTCTGCATGCCAGACCGGACCAGACTCTCAGACATATGACATGATACGGCTCGATGATACGGTGAGAAGAAAAGAACCGGAAAATCTGAGAGTGAAACAGAAAGCCGTTGTTGATCTCCCGAGACGGGAGACATCGTGATCTCATCGGTATCGTGCCGTTGATGTGGTACTGTACTGCACCGTATCGAGTATAATAGATGTGTTCCTGACCACGCATTTAAAATGGGTATTTTTTGGGGAAGGGGAATTTCGATTTGATTGCTGGTGGGTTGGTGGTGGTCCCTAGCTTTGGGTATGGCTGTTGGCCAGTATGGACATAGGTAGATTTACCTACAGTACTGTAGGTACCGTACTCAGGTCCTCCAGCTACGATTAACGTCTCAAGGTACTCGTATCACCGTACTCGTAGCTGACGGACAGATAGGCTGACAAGAGCGGGAAACCCTGAAGAAACCGGATGGCGAGGGATAGAGATGGGATTTACATCATCGAATGAACCAGCCTTGCCTTGCGTAGCTCCCAGGGGCATCAGGTACGGAGTGGAGTGGAGTGGAATCTATTCGTACCGGTTTTCGTTTGCGCTGCTTCATTTTTCCTAATCCCCACAAAACTCCATCAACTCGTCATCGATAAGACGCCCTATCACGTGTCCTCGCGTCAAGATCTGCACCTCAAGCCTCGCCCGCAGGAAACGATCGACGCGTCCGACCATACGACACCCAATCCACCAGTCCATGTACATACATGCCAACAAAGCGAAAGGGGAGCTGGATTGATTGGATGGACCATCGAAACGGCGGAGAGGGGAAAAATGAAACAAAAAACTGTTGATGTCATTAATTTATGACCCGGGATGCGGGGAAAGCTGTAAGTGTACCTACTCTTAGTGTTGGATTGGATCAGCTTTGGCTGGACTACGTGTACTGGCTGAGAACAGGGCAGGGCAGAGCGAGGTGACGGAGGAGAAGGTCCTAGAAACCAGTTTTGCGTTGCAGGCTGGGCTGGGGATCAAGATTCAGATCGAGATGGTGTTTGCTTTCTTTTTCGTTTGGACGTAGGTATGGAGGTATGCATGTGTGATGATGGACTGGGCTGGCTGGGTTTGGTGCATTTTTTCTGTTTTTCTCCATGTCTGAGCTGCTCTGAAGGCTGGCTGGATTTCCCATCTTGCTTGTGATTTTGAAAAGGGGTATATAAAGAGGCACTTTCCCCCTTGAAGTGGAGGATCAAGTCATCTTCGTACTCATACAACTCTTCTACAACCAAAAAACAAACCAAAAAATCATCAAAATGTCTGGAACTTATAAGCCAACTGGTGAGTCTTCCTCCGTATCCTCATCTACATATCCTCCCTCAAAAGAACCTGGAAAGAGAACAAATATCTAACAATCCCACGGAACATGGAGGCCTCAAGGAGGACGGAACACCAGACAAGCGTGTCGGAACCGGAGGTATTTACCCACTTCCATCTCCAGCCCAACCCATCACCATAAACTAACACCCCACAGAATTCGCACAAGGCAAAGTCGACCCCGTCGAAGCCGGAAAGATGGGCGGCCACGCCTCCGGCGGGTCTTCAGACAACAGCAACAACGATATGGACATGAGCTCCTCGACCGGAAAGCAAGGCAGCAACCCAGGCCGTAAGTTGTGCCTTTTTCACACTCCTACCTAGGATTCTAGGTCACGAATGGAGCTGAAGATGTAAATATTTGGTTTTACTGTTGTTGTTTGCTGATTTAATGTGTTTTCATACAGAATTTGCTCATGGCAAGGTTGATCCTCATGAGGCCGGGAAGAAGGGTGGAAAGATGTCTTCTTAGATGGAGATTGCGAGAATAATATTACAGATTGAGGGAGTAGGGAGGAGAGGTTGAAGAGGAGCGTTGAATTGGGATTGGGAAGGAGTGAGTAGATGGTCGCGAGAGGAAGATGTAGTGTAACGATGTTGGAAAAGGAATTCTTTATTCCAAACTTTCGTTTATTTGCTCTGTCTATTTTTCGTGACTGATTTGATTGGGTGAAAAGTCTAGTAGAACTTCAAGAACAATAAGGTTTCTTGTGATTTCCTTTCAAGATATACAACGTAACTCGCTGGATTTTGACATTTGCGTAATAGACATCACAGTGTCAGTACGAGAAATTCATTAGCAAAATAGCCATACCGTTCATTTCTCTCCCTCTTCCGAGCTGGAATCGCTATCTCCGCTACTACTAGTATCACTATCCGCCCCATCAGAACCACTTTCTTCACTCGATTCATCATCTGAAGAATCAAAAGCCGGCTGACCCGTCTTTCTTAGGAAGTCCTTCTCCAACATGAAATCTTCGGGTAAGGGTGTGATTTGATGGAATACGTAGATCGTGGGGTATTCCAGAACCAATCTCCTTTTGAGTAGTTCTGAAAGCGGTTTGGATGCGTCGAGTGGTACTAAAACTTTGGGCATAGATGAAGGTGTATATGGCCGAAGAAGATAGAACTTTTTATCCTGGGAATATGTAGGTTTATCCTGTGCTGGCGGTTCTGAATTTTCCGATTCTGCCTCGACTGAGATATTCCAAGTACTCGTCCGAGGGTCTTGTAGTATAGGCTCTGCTGTGATTGGAAGATTCGATGCTTCGGCGTTACTCAGCTTGACCCTCTTTCCTGCCTTTTCCCGTTGCTTCTGTTGTTCCGCCTTTCGTTTCTTCAAAACCTTCAGCTCTTCCGGCGTCAGATTCGCTCTTTTTTCCATCTCGCAAGCTTCATCATAACAGCCACCAAGCGGTTTATTTCCCATCGCACGCGCCAAAAACCGTTCCTTGCTCTCTTCTCTAAAGTACTCAACCTGCCAATTGATACACCTCTGATTCTTACTCCAATTCGTCGTATTCTCCTTCCTGCAATTCATCCCCTCAGGCGCGCGCACAACCCTAATTCCCATAGACTTCAAGCATTTATCAATGGCCATCTCCCCAGGCGCCAAATTACGACCCTTCGTTTTTCTTTTATCCCTCTCGTCCTCTCCATTCCTTGCCGCCTTCAATTCCGCCTTGCCCACTAATCCGCGCTCCTCTACGATTTCCTTCTCGGTTCGCTCAACGCGCGCTTCGATGGAGTGGATGAAGTTGTAATCGTGGTCGACACCTGAGGGTGTGTAGAGTTCTGAGGTGGGTTTGTAGATTGTTGGGTCGCGAACTCCGTTGCATTCTGACCAGAGTTTGTGTCGGCGAGAGCAGGGGAGTGAGCATGTTTGTATAGCGCATCGGGGACATTTGTATTTTGGTGTTTGGATACGACAGATTGTGCAGAGAGAGGAAAGGAGAGGATCAGCCATTGGAACGATCGAGGCTGAAGGCTGTCGTGGTCTTGTAATTATGGGGGGATTGCCGGTATCGTCTACTTCGCCTTCAATTAGGAATTATTTGTGTGTATTGTATGTTGCAAAAGAGTTCGTAACAATATTGTACGTTGCGACGGAAAAATTGAAGATTAATGAGAAGATCCATGAAGGTTGAGAGACAATAGTTCAGCCTCGTCAGAAAAAAATATGGCACCCTCGGCAGCCCCACATTTTCACCTAGCCAATGATATCACGACATAACTTGATAATTTTCAGCCAATAGAAATTTCACTCTTCTCTCCCTTCACTAACGTACTTCATAAGGAGTCCGGATTTATAAGCAGTCCGGATTTTTTACCCCACCATTGACCACCCTACACACTTTCAATCTACATAACTTACCCAATTATTGTTCAAATGTCTCGAAAAGAAGGTCAAATTGCTCTTGCAATCAGTGCATACAATAAGGGTCAATTTACAAGCTTAAAAGCAGCTTGTACAAGGTACGATGCGCCATATTCTACTACTTACGACCGCGTCAAGGGAGCTATTCCACAACGCGATTTCCGACCCTGAAACCAGAAACTCACCGACCTCGAGGAATCAGCACTTATACAATGGATGTTATCAATGGAAGCTAGAGGTCTGC